GGCCGTGCCGCGTCGAAGGAAACATTTGACAATCTTTTCGAAAAGTTTGGTCGGCCGGACGAGGAATTGAAGAGACCCTCGGCTGAGCCGTCCGATGGCGACAGACCGGTGTTGAAGAAGAGGAAGTTGATCGAGACAGTGCCCATCAACGAATCGTCAAAAATGGGGCCACCTCAGAAGGGGCCCTTGAAAGTAAAAGCACCGAGGAAGAAGCCACGTACACTCACCGAACTGGCCACGGCAGCCTATGCAGTTCCAGATGCTACAGGATATGAGCAGCCGTCTGCGGCTCCAGTCGAGAGTGTCGAGGACGGAGAAGAGACTGCCAAACCAAAAGGAAAGAAGAGGACATCCAAAGCAAAGAAACCGAAAAAGGCTCCTCCACCTGAACCCATTCTGTTGTCACCAACTGCAGCACTCAGACAAGCTGCGAAGCAAGATTACGTTTTCGGGACTTCGAGCCAGCTGGCACGTGAACACTCGCCTACTTTCCTCAGGGATCTCCAGTCTGCGCTGCAGGCATCAAATTCAAAGAGAGAAGATCATTTCGTGACTCCGATCAACAGCGACGAAGTTGAACCAGAACCCAAGCAAAAGCTTTGGGACGTAGGTGCGAGAGATGAGGATGGCAGGCTGCTGGATCTGGAAGTCATCAATCTTGCCGACACTCCACAAACAGCACCGCACGTTGCAGATGGCCTCAATCCTTTTGGTTATGCTGGAATCGATCAAACAATGGCGGCCCCGCCACCTCATATGCCGTCAGATGTCTCTTTCCCGGATATCGAAGACCTTCTGGCAAGAGACATGGCAATCGACTTGCCGCCACATCCTATTGTTTCTACACAAGAGAAAGTGAATGCGCCATTGCCGGCTCACATGTTGTCGGACATGTCCTTTCCAGATATTGACGATCTTCTGGGAAAAGAGACCGATCAGGATGGCAAGCCTCAGACTCAGAAACAAGCATTACCCTCTTCGCCGCCTCCTAGGTCAGTCGAAATCACATCTCAGTCAGTCGAAGTGCTGTTGGTCTCTTCTGGTTCTGGACCAAACCATGTGGAAAAAGCTAGCACTCTGCCACCACTGGAGTCACCGCCAGTACAAGCCTCTAAAGCGTCCAAGCCTGTAGCGACGGAGGATACGGCCCCAGAGATAGCGAAACCAGACTTTAGTCTCTACACTGACAACCAACTTGCGCGAGAGATTTCGTCATACGGATTCAAACCAGTTAAGCGAAGGCAAGCCATGCTTGCACTTCTAGACCAGTGCTGGGTGGGCAAGCAAAGGACTGCCCTTTCATCGCTTCCCACGAACCGCCCCATCACGACCACGTCCCAGGCGCAAGCTGCTGCCAAATCACAGAAACCAGCAACCGCCGTTTCTCCCAAGAGGCCGCGTGGTCGTCCGCGGAAGACCAGCCTAGTTGAAGCTGAAGCTGAAGTTGAAATGCCTTCCAGTGAGCCGCCACCGTCCGCTCAGCCGCCACCACCTTCTCCCAAACGAGGCCGTGGTCGACCGAGGAAGAATGCCGAGTTGACGACAGCTACTCCCTCGACGGCCAGTAAGAAGGGCAAGTCGGAAGCAACGTCTGGCGCATCAAAAGAGCCGAAAACATCTAGGAAGGCGGCCTCGGCAGTGGCATCACCGCCTCGGAAGAAAACGAAAGTGACAAAGGTCATCGAGATCCCAGATTCGGAATCAGAAGGGCCGCTTTCCTTGTCACCATCGCCATGCTCTTCACCTGAGCCGACTTTCTCACCAGCCCCCGAGGAAGCTTCAGTGTCAATTGGCGACGATACAGAAATATCACTCGCAGCGTCCCAAAGCCAGCGATCGGAAGTCTTGTTCGCGCGTATCACTGAAGCTGTGACCTCGTCGCCTCCAACGACAGACCCCAAGAACCCGTCCTTCCACGAGATGATGCTAATGTATGATCCGATTGTGCTTGAAGATCTTGCTGGTTGGCTCAACACCGGACAGCTATCCCGGGTCGGGTATGACGGTGAAGTCTCGCCGACGGAAGTGAAGCAGTGGTGTGAGTCAAAGAGCGTTTGCTGTCTGTGGCGCGAGAGCTTGCGAGGAAAGGAGCGGAAGCGGTACTGATTCGGCGCCTATGTTATGCATTTACGATACCCATTGAATAGTCTTGCATTGGTTAGACACGGTCGTCACAATAAGCTTCCTGGTGTTGATTGAGATGATCCCCTGTCGCCGTCTCGTCAACAACCTTCATAGCACATGATTATTCTTCATTCAAGATAAATTCGATTGAGAGACGTTGATGTTCGAAATGATATTCCCCGAAGAAGATGACATGTGCGGTTAGGCCGCACTGTCTGGCGTTGTAAGTGTTGATGAGAGTTAGCAGTAGGGCGCGGTCACAGGGCGCACACCGAACCTCGGCAAAAACGTCAACCCCCGCCGGGTCGGTGATCTTTGTCCCAGACACCTCATGACCTTCGACTCGAGCTGATCGACTGTCACCACCAGGTTCCCAATGCCTTCGTTATCACCATTATCCCATCCAGGTAGACTCTCTTCATTAAGAAACTCATTGAAACAATCAATTCGATACCCAAACTTCTCATTGCACTCATTTTCACGTTCAATTGCGACGCGCATTTCGAGCAGGGATCTCCAGCCAAACACGTCACTCATAGCAACGCCTGTTTCACGCACCGTCCGACAACAAGCGGGCGCATCAAATATCATCATCATGTCACAGCAACGTTCATCTTCTTCATCGCCGCCTAAGCGCGAAAGAGAGGTTATGGAGCCTCGGCCCAGTGCGAGGTGAGTTCCGCTCATAATTAGACATGCAGGCTCGGTGTCAGCTCACACAGCCCGGCCCATAGCATCTTGCTCCTCTCACCGACAAACCAGGTCCTTCTGCTGCACCGGGTGAAGACGTCCACATCCTTCGCATCGGCACATGTATTCCCCGGCGGGAATCTCGATCCATTTCACGATGGAGAGATCCCGCCAAGTGATGCCCGTGAAAGGCATGAGGACGGCCACGCGTATCGGCTAGGTGCCATCCGTGAGTGCTTTGAGGAGACGGGCATCCTCCTCGCCACTCGGAAGGGCTCTGATGACAAGTCTACTCTCGTCAACGTTCCCACGGCGGAAAGAGAGAAGGCTCGCAAGCAGATTCATAGCGGCAAGTTGCGCTTTAGCGAATGGGTCGACAGCGTGGGCGGCGTCCCCGACGTTGGTAAGTAACGAACCATTTACGTCAAGCGCTTTCATCGCAAGACGACGCAAAAGATTCAGTATCACTCACGCTTCCAAACAGGACGCCTCATTCCCTTCACCAGATGGGTAACGCCCACCAACGTGCCCAAACGCTTCACAACGCAAATGTACATTTACATGCTCCCGCACTCGGCCTCAACCGGCGCCGACGCCGCCGAGAACGAAATCATCGTGCCGACCCCGGACGGCGGCGTAGAGCACACGGCTGCCAAGTTCGACGACGCGTGGACCTGGCTCTACCGCGCCGACAAGGGCGAGATCATCCTCTTCCCGCCGCAGTATTACCTCCTGTACCTGGTCTCACAGTTCTGCAAGGCCGCGGCACCGTCCCCGGCGCCCGGCAAGGGCCATGGCGACGCGTACTTTGCGTCGCAGAGGCGGGGCCTGCTGGATTTCCTTCACAGAGCGCCTACCGCCGTTACCGAAGCGGGTCGGAAGCAGCCTTCGTCTGAGATTCCGTGGGCGCACAAGGTGATGAGCCCGCATAACTTGTTCATTCGCGAGGGGGATGATCGTATCGTGCTCGGGCTTGATAAGCCTGGTCCCGAGCTCAAGGGGTCGGGCCGCGGAGGCGATTGGGAGAGGGTTGTGTTGGTCAAGTTCACGAGGGACGGTCCGCGCAAGGTCGAGGTGAGGGGTCGCGAGGAGGTGTTGAGGGAGGAGAAGGAGGCTAAGAGGGCTAGGGAGGCGGAGGAGGAGAGCGAGGGGAGATATAAGCTTTGAAGCTGTGGTCGTCGTCGTCGTCGTCGTCGTCGTCGACGGTCGATGATCGTAGAGCCTAGAGGTACTGGTTAGTTGCTGAATGAGAAGCTGTTCCCTAACCTGGCTTCAGGATCGTGTGATTATGGTCTGACGCTGAACATATCAGAAGAGAGAGACAACAACTCGTGGTGTTGCACCCGCATAGTCATCTCACTCTTCACCCAGGACTCTGGTCAGCGGTTTCTTTTGGCATTCTACCACCACACACCACCGTTCAAAACCTTAAAAAAATGCTTTCAACGATGAGAAGAATGAGATCTGATGTATCCCAAATGGTCGACAGCAAAAGGGCATTAGTTATTGTGCAGAAAATAAGGCATCCAGGGACACCCGTTGCAGGAGTTCTCGAGTCAGGGCAGCGGTCACACCCTCCCCCTCCTCTGCCCTGCCAGGCGAACCACCTCTGCATAGCAAAATTAGTCTGAGAGAGAGTCGAAGGCGCCTGGATCTGGGGGATGCGATCCTCCCCGAGAACTCCTCGGCCCAAAGGGTGAGCCTCCTAGCAGAGCCTCACCCTCAAAGAGGTGGTTTGCTCCGAGCTCAAGGACACGCAACCCCACATACAGCAGTGCAGGCATCCTAGGAGCGTTGGAACCAAGGTGAACGCAGAATGATCCTGGTCTCCTAGCCTCTGGGGCCGCAGTGAATGCGGCCTTCATCCTGGCCATTCATCCTTCTTCTTCCCCCCCTCATACCTATCAAGAAGGAGCCGGTATTACACCACCCTCCCCAACTTGGCCTGTTGATCGATCATTGGCTCAAGATACTATGATCTGATAGCATAACTCCGCTTAAGCCGTGCTTGTGAACAAGCTCGAGGTAAGCTCAAACCTAGTTTACTGGTGTCTCGCACAGAGATCTGCCAGTCGTGGGGAAGGTAGGACATGTGTTTCCCATGATGCTCATTCTTGGTTCATGTTCTCTCACACATCGAACCGATGTCAAGCCCGTCAGCAATGCTCCCCCACGCGATATACGCAATGTTTATGCGTAAACATCCTTCACCTTCGACGACTGGTCTCGTACCCGAACATGAGGCTCTGACCTCGGAGACCGCGAGAGTCTGTCACCGCTTAAACTTGCATCGCGCACGCGCTGGCGCTGGCGCCCTCCCCTTCATCCTTGATCCTCGTCCGTCTATCGTCACTTCGTGGTCGCCAAAGAAACGCCATACGGCCATTATCTTGTGGCTTTCTTCCCCCTCCTCTTCATACGTGGCATCGGGAACGACTATCTCCCCGGATGGCTTCGGTCTCGTGGACGCAGATCATACCATCATGACGTTGAGTCCTGCCGTTTTCTTCAATGATTTGATCACAGTTCCGTTCGGCTGTTAATTCGAGACGGTAAGCCAAGCAGACATTCTCCCCAGAAGCAGTGCCGACCCTAGTTTGCGCCCAATCGTATATCATGGATCGCATATTGGATCTTTGGCCAGCTGTTCGTCCCGCATTGTCACACCGGTTCTTTCGATCGAATCTAGGCCTTTGGAATCAAACATCTAAAACCAGTCTTTCAACCGGAGCCATTGGTCTTTTCGTGTTTTCTGCTGTCTTTGGCATCTGAAGTAACCATATCCCTGCACAAGGTAGGTGAGGTAACTGTCACTCTTCATCGCAGATCATCGGCTCGCCGATGTCGAGTTCACACTTGCCGAGCCAACACCAAGTTCACCTACTTTACTTACCTCACCCACCTCCGCAAGCTGCACTGCATGGTAACACGTTCCTTTGACCAGCCTGTCCGAGGGAAATTCGTGTCGTACAGAGTTGACCTTATAGGGATAATACTCAGCAACGGGTAGTGGCTCGCAGGCTGGTACCACATCGTACCAGGCGCCCTGTATGTGCCCTTGAAAATTGATGGGAAAGAAAACCATGGCAGGAAGAGTAAAAGCACATAATTATCCTGGAGAACCCCTCTTTCTTGCATGGATGTGACTTCTTGATTGGAAGGTTCGGAATCGTTGTTGGTGCGGCTGCAGGAAACATGCATGTCGGCCATAGAAGCAACAGCGGATCTATGCTGGATTAGTATATCCTGCCGGGGCATGGCATTTGGTCAAGGTGAGAAAGAGGGAGAGAGAGAAAGAGAGTGCAGATGGAGGGGGACCAGGGATTTTAGCGCTAAACTGCTGTGCAAGGAAGGTCGAAGGGCTGATACTATGGTGTCGTTGCAAGGATAGTCGGTCACCTTTCCCGTCTTCCCTTACCCGAGTTCCGTCGTTCTGATGTTCCCATGAGCCGATCGATTATCCGTGGCACCTACGCCTATCGCAGCTTCATCCGAAGGGTGGGAGAGGGCTGGTAAGATGTATCGATGAGCCAATCAGGACTCCGGCACCGAGAGAAGGATTCAACTCTTCGAGGTATAGAAGGACAGTCTTCAAGCTACGACATATACGCAGAGCCGCAAAGCTCACAGGATCTTGAGCGGTGTGGTTGGACAATCTTATGGACCCATCCCTCTCCCGTACGGACCGTCTGGCGGTTTGCGGCGGGTGGAACGGCATGTGGAGGAGGTCGCTTGCGGGCTTGAGGGTCTCAGGTGCGGCCGCGGGAGGGGGTGAACTAGCATCTATACCCTACGAGAGTGGAACGTAACGCGTGCTTTGTGGAGGGAGCAGATGACCGGGTCCATAGATTAGGAATTGGCTCGTAAGCTGTGCCATGCTGCCCGATGAACTGCATGAAAATGAGTATCAAATCAGATCCAAAAGAGACAAGAGTGACCCATCTGTCTTGGAGATGCTGCTCGGAAAGTGAAGTTATAAATACCGGAGATGTCTCCCATCTCGACAGGCATAGTTTCACTGCAAACCATACCAAACTACCCGAAGCTGGGCTTCCTGAAACGTACAAACTTCCAATCTCATTTAAAATACTTCGCAAGTTCCGTGGCCGAGCCACCACCCAAGTCTGATACCAACTGTTGATTCACCCTTCTTTCATCATGCCTGAGTATGCTCCTCCATGATATATTGAGACAACTTGACACGCTTTGAGAGAGTATCAACTAAACTAATGATAGGGGATCCGAACAAACCACGCTTGGTGACTACATCAACACCACCAGCGTGACTGAGTACATTGCCATGGGAGGTGCGAAAAAGTGAGCACGACAGGTTGGAGGTTCCGTGGCGAGCTCCCAGCATGGATCTAACTGAGACCAGGAAGTAGGGAAACAATGTGGAATTTTCTGATACCCTCTTGTTTTGGAGTTGAAACATGTCACCCTATTCTGTCTGCCCTTGAGATTGAGATCTGCTGGTCATGGGCAAGGGACTATGAGATATCGAAGGGATGACCGCGGAGCGGATGATATCGCTCAGTAATCCAGCCATAGTAATTTCTGTTTTTTGCACCGAATTCATGACTCAAGGCCCAAGCACACATGCTCAGTGATGCCAACTCGGAGTGTGATGAATTATCCGTCGACTTTAGTCGTTCATTACCACATGCATGGCTTCCGTTGCACCATCTCATGCAATTTTCAGGTGTCCAAGGAGGTTGCATACGTGTCTCTGAGAGTAGGGTCCCTGACATGCGTTAGACCCAAAGTGAGGACGGAGGGAGCAAGTGGATAAGACTCGGATGAGGTAGCTGACAAGGAGGTCAGAAGAAGGAGGAGTACTGGATGATACCCTAGAAAGCAGTGAAAAGAGGCGAGAGCCTGATAATACTGTGTAGTCGTGAAAGACATTAGCCGAAGAGCATCTGCACCCGAGCCGTCTACCGCCCGTCCTCGTGCCGGCCCATGGCGCCTATCATGTACTAGGCGGGACGAAGGGGGTGGGGGAAGCTGCAGAATAGCCAACCGCCGCAGGGATGATGGTAGAGTGATGGGAACATGGAGCGGCGCGCCAACTCATGGAGACAGTAGCAGAGCCTCAAGGACCGGGGTCTGGGACGTTGTGGTTGGCTACGTACCCCCGTGTAGCTGGCGGTTGGAGGCGGCAGAACGGGGCCGGTCGTGCTCGGCGGTTTGGGCTTGTTCCGGCCGCAGAAGAGTGGAGTTGAGCGACGGGAGGAGGTTGTGTTTCCGTGGGGTTGTATCACACACGAAGCTTGAAGATGACCAGCTGATCAGCGATTAGGAATTAGTTCGTAAGCCATCTTGTAGATCAAATGAGAGACCAGAAGCTTTGGAGAGAACTTGAGAGACCTTGGTCTTTCGAGGCGGAAGATGCAAATTCTAGCAACTATAAATACCCGCCAAAGTCCCACGAGGGAGCGCATAGTACTAGAGAGAAGAGCAAAGAAGAATACGATCCGAGACCAGTATCCTAGCCATAATCTACTGCTTGAGTGACATACTTTTGAACAAAGGTCAAACTGCTGGCCACACATCATCAAGATCTGAACATTACCCTCCACACTACAGAGGAGTCTGTTAGAGACTCGAGAGTCGAAATGCCCAGCTCGCAAGTTCATCTTCAAGAGTATACTTACTGCTAAGTGGCTTACATGAAACAAAGCACACCTGCACCCCCCAAGCCTTCACCAGCTCCTCAGTTGGATATCTTCATTCAGAACACTGATTCAGTCCAAGACCGACTGTATGCGGCTTCAGCGGCGGCATCAAAGGGGAAGGGAGGCAAGAAGAATTAGCTATCATAGGTGTTAGATGCAGAGAGTATCGAGGCAAGGAGATTCATCACGGGCGAAATGTAGGATAAGGGAGAAGATTCATTGACGCTTGCTTTGTCGTAGTGTTACTCGGCGAAATCCAATGGTAGTATTTTGTACCCTTGAGCCCTAGAAAGAAAAGGGATCTCGGTAGACATGATCTTTGCGCCGCTGTAATAAGCAACTGACATTCTGAAAGCCATTCCTCAATTTCAATAGACCTGCTTGCCGCCAGTATTTGTGGTATGGCCTCGTCTCCTGCACCCCTACCAATATGCTTCTCATTAGGCCTCTGGCTTACTCTCACCTAACTACCTAGGCAAGAGAAATGACGAGGAAACCTGGGTCTTGCTTGTTGATCTCATTGGTTTCGATACGATGGAAAGGGGCCTTCATTCGTTATCTAAGCCAGGAAACCAGCGGTGCCCGCGATTCCGAGTTCCTTCATCTTCTGCTCGAGGCCCCCCTGAAGCTCCGCCTGGGCTGCCTTCTGCGCCTCCTCAAAGTCCTTGGCGTCGTCCAAACCCATCTCGGTGTCACTGTCTTCATCCACGTGCGCTCCATCCCAGTCGGCCTTCTCACGTCGGATGATCTTGCCCATCATCTTCTTGCGCTGCTCATCGGTGAAGTCGGCAAAGATCTCCTCGGGCTCGTCGCAGGGCTTCTCGTTGCGGAACCTGTCGATGGCGAGGGCAGTCGTAGTCTCGTCCTCGTACTTCTCGATCGGGTGTTGCTGGTAGCGGGAGAACTTGACGGCGATTCTTCGACCCTCGTAAAGGGCCGTCAGGACCTTGGCAGTGACGGTGGGCTTCATCTCTTTCTTGGCGGCAATGATCCAATCCGTTTCCTTGGCGGCAAGAGGAAGGAGACCCGAGATGGTCTCGGTAATGTGGGCTTTGTGAGATGAAAGTCTGTCGGCGTTCATGAAGACCTGGGCAATGGCTCTGTCGATGGCCTTCTTCTCTAAATTGGGGGAGACGACGCGAAGAGCAGTCTTGAAGGCCATGCCCTCGCTCACATCCTCGAGGATCTTGAGCTCCTCTCCGGCTGCGTTCTGGTACATCTGGAAGCCTGGGCCGGAAGGAAGCACCTTCTTCAAGGTCTTGGGCTTGGGCTTGTTTTTCTGCTTGTTCTCCTGATCGCCTGAGCTATCAACAGCTGGCTGAATGATGGGCAACTGCGACTGAGACATCGTGAAGCTTTGTGTGAAGTTAGAGATCTGATAGTTAGAAGAGATGGAACCACTCAACTTACATTGTCAAGAGACGAGAGAACGTGATTGTGTCAGATGAGAATTCGGACGAGATCCAGAGATGGGATAAAGTGCAGAAGTGGATGACAAGTCGTGATGATGAGTGTGGATAAAAAGGGTATCGAAGAAAGGTCTGCTGTGGTTGTAGTAGTGAAAATTTGAGATAGTAAGGTTGGGTAGGTTGAGAATCATGAAAGACAGCCGCCCTCGGTGAAGGTCGGTGAGAGTGAAGTATCACCATAGAGTGCAGGTGCGCGTCAACAAACCACCTCGCGTCTCACCGCCCGCCACGCGCCAGCAGTGAGAGATAGATGTGATTCACTTCACCTTTTTGACCCACCCCTTTCACCCTCGCTCCTTCCCTTCACCTCCTGACGCCCGCGTGACCTACTTGATTATGAAAAGGTCCTCGTTCTTCCATCAGGGCGGCCGGGTGGCTGAGAGGTGAATCTCTTGGCTATCTATCTAACAGAAATCGATACTCCCCAGTTCGATTCTCGGTCGTCGCGCAAAAACTACCGAAACCACTGGACGTATTCAAGACAGAGTGACATTTGACCAAAGTGCGACCTTTGGCAGTGGTTTCTTGTGCCCAAAGCCTCAGATGCTGCGGGCGTTTGAGATCCGGTTTCGGTACTACGTGCCTGATAAATATTTGGAAACACCCTCTGGTCAATTGACCATCAAAATCTTTTTATAATTCTTATTGGAACTTATGTTGTGTTGTTTGCTCAGCTATTATTGTTATAGTCGAACGTCGACTATGTTAATCAATAGCACTAAGTACATAGAGAAGGGCGACTAGTGTGACATGGTCAACTAGATTGTCACCATAACGGCTTGAGCTATATATAGTAAGTAATGAGATAGCGTAGATCAAGACAATGAAGCTTGACTTCGTGTGGGATCTAGCTTAACCGCCGCCACCACCACATCCACCACCACCACCGCCGCATCCTCCACCCGAACCCATGCCCACTATTCCCACTCCAGGAGCGCAGCCTGTCGATCGAGAGACGTCAGAGCTTGTAATGAAGAAGGCGACGAGAATGAAGAAATACTTACCGCCGAGTTGGCGACTTGCTCCAGACCAGTACCCCTGATATCAGACCACCATATTAGACACTCAACTTGATAGATGCATGAAGATAAACGACTTACAGCCATATTGGTACAACCACCAGGGCCGCCACATCCCCCAGCAGCGATGTCATTCGAGCCGCAAAGCCCCTGAGCGCAGTCGGCCCAAGACCCATGAAGGACACCAGGATTTCCAGTAGGATAGACCCCTCCAATGAGGTACGCGGGATAGTTGTAGGGACTATCTCTATGGTGCGTCTTGCCCCAGTTGTTGTAGAACTCCTCTTTCGGTGGCAGCGTCCTTCCTCGCTTTGCTGCGCGCTTCTTTGCTCGCTCGTAGGCGTCGTCGAGACGCATCCTCCAAGCTGCGCGGAGCTGGCGATGCGCTATGTTGTGAGTAGCGGATCCGTCTGTGCGAACGGAGTTGTGGGCAGAGATGTGGACCGAGTTGGATGGGGTGCAGACCTGCGAGGCTGTTGCTTTGTCGAAACTGTCGATGGCTGGAGGTAGGGGTGTCAGTATCTTGGACCTTGCGCAGGGGTGCTGTTCATTGAAATACCTTTTTGTGGCTTGCTTTTGCCAAAGACGGAGGAGCTGTCGATTGTGATTTTTGCGCGTACAGCTGTTCAGCATTGTGAGCAAGGGTTCCTGATTATGAAACGGGCTGGATGAAGCTGCTCCCAGGAGCATTGAACAGACCTTCGCAGTACCAGCATGTGCATTCCGAGTAGACCTCGTTGAACTTCTCCAAGTAAGTCTTGCTAGTCAACTCGAACGAGTTGGACAGCTGGTCTTCGTCAATCTTGTCATTATGGTCAATGAACTTGGCCTCCTTGCTGGTACTCATGGCGGTGTTGTATGTTGAAAACGTGTAGTACGCTCTCGGGGCCAACTGGTGAGTATGCCAGGCAAGGTCCACATCCAGCGTAGGTACCGTAAAAGACATGGGATACTCGGTCATGATGAGCATGAAGCGTTGGTACTTCTGAAGAAGCCGATCCATAGTACCTCTCGCACTGGGGCTGTGTAGCCAGTCGATCTGCAAAGAACTCTTGTTAGCACTTTCAGGGGCTGGGAGGATCAGTCAGGATACTGACGTTGAACATCTTGCCAATAAACACCCCCTGTCGCATCGTCGCTCCAACCAGGTCGAGCGCGAAGATGGACGCATTTTCCCAGTACCTCGACATCATCTTGCGGCTCTGAAAGCGTTCCGTTCGTGTGATTACTCTCCCGCCTGACCCGTCTCTCTTGTCATAAGGGACTGGTCTTGTCCCTTGTATTCTCGCAAAGGCGTCGTCATCAGCCAGTGCAGCAGAGACCAGGTCTCGTACATCCTTCATCGTTGGCGTCTTTGCTTGACCGGGACTGATGAGACGTAGCAGCTGCGCGGAAATCCCTTGCCCAATCAGTCTGTTGGGGTACGTGACATCCTTGAGCTTTGCCTCGGTGGCCACTGGCATGCCGACCTTTGGGTCTAGGATGGTGCTGGGGAGAGTTACACCTTCGTTGAGATAGAGCTCCGCGTCATTGATCATCTTGGCAACGCAGAGTAGACGATGCGTGATGACGGTATTGCAGCCTGCTGTGCATAGTTGAGAGAAGTCGCCATCGCCGTATCCTTTTCCAACCAAACCTGGCCGCCTTTGACAAAAAGGTCAGCAAACTCCACGAGGGCGAATGGAATCTCGTCTATCATTGAACGTACTCTTGACCCTTGTACATCTCTGGTAAGCCGCAAGTGCTCCAAGGCACAAGAGTAATCTGTTTGCATGCAGGGCATTCGATTTCCTTGTCCAGTGGTTCGTCGAGGTTGTTCCACGCTCGCCCTGTTGCCTTTTCCCAGTTCGACTTGGCCACATCGGAAACCTCGTAGTTGAACTTGGAGTCAATGACTTGATTGACCTGGGCCCACGGCATTCCCGTCGTCCAGAAATCGCGGAGATTCCAGCGCATAGTGTCCTCCAGAAACGCTCTGGGATTCAGCATGTGCGCATGGAACATTATCAGGACATCTGATCACGGTTAGATGTTTGCCAAACCTTCGGCAGACTCAAATGCACCAATTACCTAGTGGTGGAAGATTATTCACTGTCCAGGGAAAGTCCTCGCCCCCGTCAGGAAAGTTCAAGTACTTGTCGGAACACGTCTCGAAATCCTTCATCTCTGCTTCACGCAAGCGACCTCCCGAGAGCGTCTTCCACCAAGTCTGATACCGATCCGCCGCCCGCGCCAGATAGACCGCCCACCTCTTTTCGCGCAGCGCTGACAGCACTTCCTTCACTCGCTCCTCACCTCCCTTGCTGGAACCTTCATCGCCATCCCTAGGGCCGGCTCGCGAATCCCACAAGTCCCATAGACCATCGCTGTACCCGACATCCTCCTTCAGCGTCTCAATGGCATAAAGAAGCTTCAGGTGCGCGAGGCAGGAGTCCACGTCCGGATCTCTCTGGGTGCCTAGCCGTAGTGAGTTGAAGGCGCTGGTAAGATTGGCGACATCCTGCTCGGTGTGAGGCCTCTTCCCATTGGGCCCGCCGTTTGCTTCGAATGGTGGTGGCTGATCCTCGAAGGGCGGAGGTTCGTCCGGTGCGGTGCCGTAGGCGGGAGGAGGTGTTGCTGGGCGGTCTGCCTTGGCTTTTTCTTCCTCAGCCTCCTTCTCTTTGGCCTTGGAGGACCTCTTGAAAAAGGAGGGCATCGCGAGATTGGCAGTCTCCCTCTCTTGCTCGGGAGCGATGGAGTGGCGATCAGATCAGGGGTCAGCGTGGGGGAATGCGGGGTAGAACTCGTCGAATTTCTTGCCAGGCTAAATGCTTGATCTTACGTCTACGGTCTGGAGGACCATGCCATTGTATAGTTGGGCTCCTATTATGCAAATTCGAGATGAAGGTAGTAGTTTTGGACTTGAGCAAGCTTTATCTCCTTGGGCTTTTGTGAGACTCCAGGCCACGTCATGCGAGGTTCCCGTCCTCTTTGCCTTATGATCAACTGCCGATTCAGCCGCGGAATCGCTTCATTCCAGGGCGACTAGGCAGACTGGGTAAAACAGACACCAATTGCTGTGCATCGATACGGGCGCATTCTTACAACAGCAGCTAGCGCCGGGCGGCTGGGACGCCCCCAAAGCTTCGAACGGCACGTGGGCGGTTGCACAACGATCTAGTCGGGCGAAGGCGCCCCTCCACAATTGCCTTCATAACCCAATGAGGGTAAGGATTTGCGCCATGTTGGAAAGCTTGAGTTGGACAAGCGAGAACCGGCTGGATGAGATTGGTCGACAATGATCAAGGCTCTCCAGTAAAGACTCAATCCATAGTGGCGGAAAAGGTTTATTTGTCAAATCCTACCCGCCCGTGTTGGCAACGCTTAAGGCTAGGGCGACTGCAACGCTTGTGCATATTGTAGATGAGCTTGCCCTATTTGCCCAAGCTTTCTGACCACGCATTCTGTCCTTGGCAACCTATTGCTAAGGCTTGGCCTTGTCAGACAAGAGACAAAAGCAGCTGATTGTGTCAGACCGATGTTCTAGAAGCAGGAGTCTGCGACTTGGCGTTGGTATTCTATCCGTGCTTACATTGACAAGGGTTCGGGAAATAGCACAAATAACAGGGGGTTCCAACGGCTCAAGTATTGGAGCAAATTGGGAAGCAGCTTTTCAACATCTGATTGCACATCTGAAGTATTGAATTGTGATTTCGTGGGCGGAAGAATGGTATTCGGGATGATTTCCATACAGTCTGATTAGCCTTAGTTATGAGAATCCCTACAGGCGCATTGTCATCATTTGTGTCCAGCCCAGAACCTCAAGAAAGCCTCTTTCTTGTTTTTTGGTGGCGGTAAAGCCTCGGGGTTGCGGTCTTCCTCTTTCAAAACTTGGCCATCGTTTCCAACGTTGGTGACAGCGTTTTGCTGCTTACCCAGGTAGAAGTTGGTCTGGAAGAGCGCAGCAATAAGGGGAACGAATGCGAGAGCTAAAGCTGGCACCAGGCAGTAGTACAAGGTGCGACGGTACGCCTCGATAGCGCCCTGTCTCATCGGGTCATCGAAGGCGTATTTGGTGCGAATAGTGCGGACGCTACCGAACAGGGTTTTGACGTCCTTGTCAGTCGCGGTTGCGGGGAGGTATTCGCGCAAGAGCTTGGGCATCTTGTCAGCCCAGATGACAGCAACAATGGCACTGCCGATGGAGCTGCCAATCTTTGACCATAGGGAAAGCAAGGCGATGGCTAGCGCAACGTCTTGGTGCGGCACGGAAGCCTGAGATGCAACACGAGAGCCGACGACCGAGAACGCACCGCCAGCACCGACCATGATCAGTGAGATGACCATCGGGGTGGTGGAGTTGGTGGCTCGAGGGCCATCGATCATGATGCCTATCCCGATGATCTTGATGCAGAGGCCGAAAATCTGCAGCATCTTGTAACGGTGAGTCCACCGCTGAAGCAGACCTGCGACCATGCCAAAGATGCAGAGCGCAAGTGTTAGCGTGTTGTTGTAGTACACCCAATCTTGCGAGGACCAAGGCTTCGCAATATAGACGTAAGATGACCAGTACAATCCGCGCATATTGCCAGCCACTGAGTGATGTTGTTAGCAAAATGAACATAATTGATCTCCAAAAGGGACTGGCGGCTGGTACTTACACATATAGAAAGAGTCGATGACAATGGCCATCAAGAATGTCTTGTTCATGACCAGTCTACGAGGTGCGCTTGGTACCTTGGCCCACTTGATCTCATAAACCACATACGCAATGAGCAAGATGCCTCCCACTACCATCATGGCAATGAGCGACTGATTTCTCCAACCATGTTCGGCATAGGTCTTGAGACTGAATGGCAAGAGCAGCAAACTCCAGCCGAAGCCCAAGAGTATCAGACCAAGCGCATCGATCTCGACCAAGTTGCGCTTGAGGCCTTCCATCCAAGTGCCAGCAGGGTCAGCGGCTGGAGCCGCAATAGCACCACGCGGTCCATCATACCCCTTCTCATCAGCCATCTCTCTCGCAGCACGCCGCGCCGCGTTCGAAGAGGCGAGGTTGACGATGCCATCCTTTTTCGCCTTCCTGTCGAGGTACAATAGCGTTGCGATCGCAGGGCCGAGAGCGGCGGGCATGATGATGGCAAACATGCCATACCCCCATCTCCATTGATTCCGAGCTTGCATCGCGTCAACGATCTTGCCGGCGAACCAGGTGTTGACGATAAAGGGGGCCGAGAGCAAAGAGCTGACGAAGCCACGCCATTCCAAGGGGGTGAGGTCAGCGACAATGATATCGTTGGTAAGGTCGAGGCCGGAAGAACCGATGGAGACGAAGACTTCGCCCACGACGTAGGCTGAGATTGATGTGCTCGAGGCGGCGATAACGTATCCGATGACGTAGAAAAGCAGAGTGACGATGTAAGTGTACGGGCGTGATGTGATGTCAGAAATCTTGGCAATGAAGGGCTTCGAGACAGCCGAGATAATGCTCGTGGCGATCGAGAGGGTCGATAGTACGGATGAGTGCTGTTTGTAGTAGGACGAGGCGTCGATGCTGTAGTAGGAGGTTGTCGAGCTATCAAGGGAGTAGGCCCAGGCGCAGACGAGGACGGAAAGTCCGACGAGGTAGAAGGAGATGCGGTTCTGTTTGGCTTCGCGGTAGACTGCCTCCATGCGAGCGACACCTTGGGATTGTAGGATCTCCCCGACAGAAGAAATTTGAGGCTCTTCACGATCTGCTGAGGGGGAGATTGTGCCATCTTTGGGGATTTGGACGTCGTCTGACAAGACGCCCGACTCTTTGGTGTTACTCATATTGAGGATTCGCGAATCGTAGCACGCGACCTGGGCTGGATGAATGAGAGATGAAGGTCTGTTCGGATGAGAATTGAGGTAGTACTAGATTTTGTGGCAAGAGTCATTGGGGATATATGTATATGTAGTCTCGTATGAGCTAGCAACCGTCCTTAGATGGACTTCACTACGATGCCTGCCGTGCTGCTCCGGCTAGCTGTATGACTTGGCACTTTGGGCAAAATAAAAATCTGGCCCAAAACTAGAGAATTCGCAGCCGCCGTTGAACAGGGGAGGCAGGGATCATCGGGACCCACGATGCTGGTGGTGTGTCTAACTCGAGATTCTTCGGAACTATGTACTTACGGACCTGGTCACAAATGTACGAAAATCCGTGGTAGACTGTAGTGAGCCTCGAAGGAGCAGAGCTAAATGGGCCCTGTCTTTTGCCAAATCTAATCAGATGGATCCGATCATCTTATCTTTTCCCATCGTAGGTAAGTAAACTCGGCCGGCGGAGAGGGGCCTGGTGCGGAATTCCGGGACTAACATTGAGCTAGCCCAGCGAACGAACGAATCACAAAGGACCGTAGAAAAACTTGATAAAGTGAATGTACCACCGGCGGGATGATGCAAAACATTTCCACTTGGTGGCCGGTGATCTTGGTAAGGCAATGGTCCGGCACCATGGGCTCGGTCACCTTCCATAGCCTGATTTGTGTTCCTTTCAAGTGGCCAGTCGTCCACGCCATGCCCTGGCTTGAGCGAATGGCAACCAGGGGAATCAAGTCTTTCAAGAGGCAAAACGTGGCGAGACAAGGCCATATTCCCATTTCATTTCCGATTCAGTCCACTTTGCTTCTTATTCTTCTTGGATCTCAGTAAGCAACCATTTGCCACGTAAGTCACCGCGGAGAAGTCATCATCAATGCATCTACTTGTATTGCCCAGTTGACTGGTGTGACCGTGGGATGAAGATTTCAGCCCAATTCGTTCAATGTTCAAGGAATCCCGCAGGATCGCGCGATTGAATCGAGACTCAAGAAGTTGTTAGCTGCTAACTTGAAGCGCACGGAAAACAGAATTCAACCAACAGTTGCAACTTTTTTACCGAGGAAGTTGTAATCAAAACTTCCTTTGATCTGGGCAAACTCGCTATTTACCTATCTATGTTGAAGAAGTCAGTAAAATCTTGAGTCTGATTTATGAGCTCTTCTTACCGATTACACAAAACTTAGCTCGTTTCTGTATCCTGTAGTTTTGGGTGCTGCTTTGAAATATCAGAATCATCATCGTAAAAGGCCCGCTCACCCTTCGCTTTCACCGGTTTGGGGACATTGACGACCGAGTCCTCCATGCGGGTCCGATGCTTATCGATAAGCCCGAATTTCGCTTCATTGCTCTTTCACTCAAGTTTGCCATGGTGAAGTCGATCGATCCATGTATGGCCATCGAGCTCGAGGCATGGTCGAGGAGTTTTCTCAGGACATCTGAAAAAGCGAGAGCCCTGTTGTGCGTGTCATTTTTGGTTCTACGTTACATTCGCTTCTGGGTTATGTGAGGCATCGATATCTATCATCAAAGCAACATGTGCAAATTTCTCTTGGCCCTTGAGCGTTAGCGAGGCGCTCCGAGGCATCAATTGTACTTGATGGTCTTACAAGTGTTCACTGTTGTTACCGCGCCGATTCGCGTAGTCTACTTCTCAAGAGCATGCCCTTCATTAGTGGATCTATGTAGATATCAAACCGCGTGAATAAGGCACTCTCAAGTGCAACCACGGGTTAATGGCTGGACGTTTCCCCGGCACTCTCGGTACCAAAGGTAGACCGCACGGCATGAGGTGTGACCTGTGCGCTTGTGTCACTTTGCCAATCAGGAAGGGGAAATATGGGCAAGTCATCCGAACAGGGAGGCGATCTGAAGTAGGACCCTAGAAAAACACATACGGTAGAAACAGAATGATCGTATCCATACACAAGTTGACTCCTCCAAGAGAGCAACTATTATAAGATGAACGATGTGGCACACGTTGACGAGCTCAACATCAGCTCAACTCTGCGATTCTTAGTTGAGAGGGGTCAAACGCCCTCAATATGGCGCTACTCCCTCAGAGTTATTTGGCGGACTATTTAGGCTCAACTCTTCCGCATCAAAGATGCTACGTAGCCATCCGTCAGTGAGTCAAGTGCCGTAGGAGCCCCCACAATCAGGGCGCTAGAACAGATGATTCTCCCTCCCCTCACTTTATTCTAGCAAAGAAGGTTTTCTCCAACTAACAAAGTTATCTCATCTTGAACAAGGGCACCTTTCTGAAACAGGTTACCTTGCCTGGAGGCAATTCTCCCCTTAATCAATCTGGCGGCCCCCAAATTCACCCTTTCGAGTCCAGTAAATTCCCTAGTCGAATATTGTCATCCGAACCATGCGGAGACTGGAGAGATTCGAGAACATGAGCGGCCAGCATTGCCGGCACCCCTGACTGTTGAGGAGGATGAGCCGACTTCACGTGGTCTTTCGGAGCCAAACTCTCCGTACGATCTTCATAGCCTAGGCTGCCCGCCTGTCCAGCTTTGTGCAGCAAACCCCAAAGTTTGCCCATTCCAGAAAACTCGCCAGGTCCTAACGGCTCGGCGCCAATGCACTGGGCCGCGTTCCAAGCATCATCCCCGCCGGACGAGCCCCGGCCGCAGTGTATCTCACACGGCCGAAAAAGTAACCTCAGAAACTCAGAAAGCTCGGCACGGAGAACCTCTGCGATCGTCCCAACATCTGGGGGATTCGCCTCTAAGATGAAGGACCGATGCGTTTTCGGAACCCTTGGACCTTGCTTTACTGGCGCGATTCAACAACAAACTCCGGAGTTGAAGATTAAGTACCCAGCTTGGCGCAATAGCTGGTGATGTATAAGAAGGGGGATATGTCCATCTCGCTGTAAGTCGCCGGTACGGTAGCTCATTACGCACCATTTATCTGGGTCTTACATTCTTTTCTCATTCCCCCCATTTCCACGCTCATTATTTCAAGATGGTTGTCGCACACCTTTTGCTCGCTGCAGCGCTTGCGCCCGCGGCACTGGCTACTCCCCTCAAGCTGCGCGACGTCGCATCGTACGAAGGAAACCCGCTGGCGGACAGACAACTCTTCCCCAACCCCTACTACACAGATGAGATCACGAACCTCGCCGTCCCAAAGCTCACCGGAGATCTCGCAGCGAAGGCAGCCAAGGTCGCCGAGGTGCCCACATTCGCATGGCTGTTAGTGTTCTGAGCCAGGCCCTGGGGCCATCATGCTTTACGAGCGTCTGCTGATAACCGCAGTGATACACGCGAGAAGATTAGTCTGATGAACAGCACTCTGGCGCAGATCCGTAAGCTGAACCAGGAGGGCGCCAACCCGCCGTACGCTGGCACCTATGTCATCTACAACTTTCCGGACCGTGACTGCTCTGCCAAGGCCTCCGCAGGCGAGCTCGTGATTGCCGACGGCGGTGTTGAGAAGTACAAGAAAGAGTACATCGATCCTATTGCCGCGCTCGCCAAGGAGTACTCGGATGTTCGCCAAGTCTTCGTCTATGGTAAGTTCCTGGGACGTTATCTGGGGCTCTACGTCTATGGTATGCTGATGACGAGCAGAACCTGATGGATTGGCCAATCTCATCACCAACATGAACGTGGCGAAGTGCACTGGCGCAGCCGATGCGTACAAGGAAGGCACCGACTACGCCTTCAAGACTCTCAACCTCGACAACGTCGCAATATACGTGGATGCGGGCCATGCAGGATGGTTGGGTTGGGAAGCGAACCTGAAGCCTACTGCCGAGCTTTACAGCGAACTATACAAGAAGGCCGGTTCTCCCAAGGCAGTTCGTGGCTTGGTCACAAACGTGTCAAACTACAACGGCTGGAACCTGACGAGCGCCCCAGCCTACGCAGAGAGCAACAAGCAGTGGGACGAGTCCAAGTTCCATGCCGCGTTGACGCCGTTCCTCAAGGAGGCTGGGTACCCGGCAAACTACCTCGTCGACCAGGGCCGCAGCGGCAAGCAGCCGACCGGACGCCAGATTTGGGGTGACTGGTGCAACATCAAGGAGACTGGCTTCGGCACGAGACCCAACGTCAAGACTGGCATCGATACACTGGATGCCTTTGTCTGGGTCAAGCCCGGCGGTGAAGCTGATGGTACGAGCGATTCGACTGCGGCTCGCTATGATGAGAAGTGCAGCTCTGCATCCTCTGTGATTCCGGCCCCGGAAGCCGGAACTTGGTTCCAAGAGTACTTTGTGCAGTTGTTGGAGAATGCCAACCCCGCGTTCTAGATGACTACGGAGGAACCCTGTTGCAGGGTGTAGAAGTCACTCTATTTTCCTTTCTTCGTACATCAATAGGGTCCAGGAGTTTAGCGAAATAAAAAACTGCAAGACTTTTCGCAAAACTGCAAAACTTTTCCACTGCATTATCTTCATCAGGTTGCGAACATTGAATCTCCATCACATACTTTGATCTGGAGTTATGCAGATGCCTGAAGGAAGTTTCGCTCAGCGTTGTGGGGACTAATGTGCTGAAATTGAAACTTAAGAGGATGACTCCAACACGGGGATGAGCATATGTTTTGTCTCTTCAACTCGCGCCAAAGCCTTTTGAAGTTTGACAACCTCAAGCTGGCAATTCGTCCAAATAAGAAACCTGTCAGATCCGGACCACAAAAGTCAGCGGCACCAGCAGACCAAATAGAGACCGAGATGCAGCGGCTAACCGCAACATCTGTCGAGTTCAAACACCAAAAAGGAGCCCGATGGCGCGCTTCGGCCCCGCATGCCCCAGCGGACCGCCTGCAATCTCGCCCCTTTTGGAATTTGCACCGCCCAGGCCCGAGCTTCAACTGGGAGTTCCACCAATCGCATTGAAAGGCACGTTGGCCGAGTATGGGGAATTCAATGTACTGCAAACGCAGAGTGACGAAGTCTTTTTGATCAAGAGCCCCTTGGTGCCGAACTCTCTTGCTCTTGGTCAACGGGTGGAAGGGGGAGCCAAGCCGCTGGTATAATATGTAAAGCACCACGCGTCCCACGCGAGCCGGCCGTCTGAACTGTTTACCTGTACTATTCACAGTCGTCCCGTCTCTCGTTGGTGTTCCCTGCACGGTTTCTCAACCTCTCATTCGCTTCTCATTTTTCCTATTCACTATCCTTCTCATTGTTGATATTTTGCTGGTACATAACGTTACAATCCCTGGCCTAAAATGAAGTCCTTCACCCAAGCCCTTTCCCTGGCAGCCGGCCTGTCCCTGTCCTTTGCCAGTCCCACCCCGGCCGTCTTCCCGAGACAGACCAACAGTTCCAAGAACCTGATTGTCTTGTAAGTCACCCGCATGCTACCCGTTCCGTACATCCATAACTGCGGAATGATAAGAGAGGAAGAGAGCTCCATCTAACTCGGATGCCCTCCCTGTAGCGGCGACTCTTACTCCACTGTCGGCTTCTGGCCCGGCGGCACCCTCCCGGCTGCCGGAAACCCGCTCGGCAACCCCTCCCTGCCCGGCCAGACCACCTCTAGCGGTCTGAACTGGGTCGGCCATCTCACAAGCACTCTCAACACATCCACCATCTTGACCTACGACTTTGCCGTGACCGGCGCCACCACCGATAAGGATATCGTCGACACTTATGCCCAGTACTGCGTCGACGACCAGGTCGACCAGTACAAGCAGTACGTGTCAAGCGTCGTCAACAAGAACAACGCCCTCGTCGCTGTCTGGATCGGCATCAACGATGTCGGTGAGCCGTTCTGGGATAAGGTGTCTGCACCCGTCACCAAGATTATGGACCGCTACTTTGAGCTCCTTCAGACTCTTGCCGATGACGGTCTGAAGAACTTTGTCCTGCTCTCCGTGCCTCGTACGTTACATCCCGAAACCAACCTCCTCTTCAACTTGTTTGGTCCTAACACACCTCTGCCAGCCTTCTCTGACCAGATTCCTGCCATGATCGGCCAGTCCGAGACCGACCTGGCCCGTCTGCGCTCCGACATCACCTCGTACAACGCCGCCCTCGAGACCCGCCTCGCCACCTTCAAGTCCGCCAACAGCGGCGTCAAGGGTCTCGTCTTTGACACTAAGCCCTCGTTCGACACCGTTGTCGAGAACTTTGCGCAATACGGCGCCAAGGATGCTACCTGCTACGGCTCCAGTGATTGCATCTGGGCCGACAACTATCACGCCGGCCTGGCTATCCATAAGCTTCTCGCTCAGAACTTGGTCAAGGGTGTGGCCGCGAACTTTGTCTTCTGAGTAAGGTGGCCCCTCAAATGTCGGGAAGATGGTGGATAGTACATACGATCTTGAATATAACTGAGCACTCGCAGCTCTCATCCACACTTATCTTGCTTTGATCTGCTGCATCTCATTGAACGTAAACCTAACTTACTGCCAGGACATTTCCAGCCCGAAGAAAGCATGCCCCCATACCTTGGTGTTCATTGACCAAGAAGGGAAAAAGTGTTCGACTAGAGACTAAGCCATAGCAATCGGGCAAGTAAGAATAATGCGACTACTAAAGGAAACACAACAGCAAAAGACCAGGCCATAACCCAGATTAATGGAAAAGCATACGTCAGGTCTGGTTCAATAAGTATGTAGTGGTACCAATGCTAAAAGCCGACCAAGGTCACCGCCAGCGTCTCTAAGGTATCTGGGCTAATCTGACACCTTCAACATCCACCGCCCATTCCGATAGACTAGCCCCTAGCCAATGTCGAAGACATCCATCAAACCCTAGCTAGTACATCGTTCTGACTCAACACTGAGCCAATGGTGCGTCTTGCTATCCAGCCTCGCTAGACTCCTCGAAATCGCAGGCCCCGCAAGGTAGAAACTAGCTCGAACTGTGTTTTCGGTGTGTCGCAAAAGTTTACGAACATACGCACGCCTCGCGGGTTAAAGTACGGCATCCAGTGTAGAATTGGGGTCCCAGAGACTTCTCCATAACTTGAAGTCTCTTCGCGTTGCGTGGAATGGGGTTCAACATCCCGTAAAGCCGGTTGCGTCGCAGAGATTCCGGGGTCCTGCAGTCCTCGTCAAGAGTGATGTCTTTGAGCGCAAGAAGTTCCGCCATGGGATTGCGGTATCTGGAGCCGCGTCCACCAGTAAAAGCATACACAAAGGAGTGGGGTCGCATCCTTAGATGGATGTTCTGGAACTCAGGCTGCAATTCGGTCAATTGTGCAATGAAAGAGGCAACACCTAGCCTTGATCGCTGGTAGATGACCGCGTGGCATGAAGCAAAGGCATCGATATCTAGTAGCACTACAGCGAGAGCGATTGCCCGGCCACGGTGGGAGACTTCAAAGTCTGGTCGGAAGACTTTCAACACAACGTGCCTGAAAAGCTTGTTGATCTGGGATACGTTTCGGATCATTCTGAAGCGTAGCAATGCGAGACGTCGTTGGCGGCGGTTGAGCTTGAGCTTAGGGCGTTTGTCCCGGATATCATAAGTCGCATTCCAGGTCAGTGGCTGAGCAGAGGTCTCGGCATCATGTACCATCATCTCGGCAATAAGAAGGAAGATCTCGATTGGAAGACACTCTAGCGTGGTATTGCCTGGTGTGCTGGTAAGACGCAAGCCCTCTTGATGAAATAAACGGGCTGATCTTCGGGAAGCCATGGCTGAGCGATGTGTTATGTCCAGTGTTGGCAACATGCAGTGTTGTGAGTCTCTCAAACAGACCATCCTCAACTGCACAATAGTGATTTAAGTATTATAAAAACTTCTTGAACAACATGGAGAATTTCGATCAACCATGATTGTGGTAGAGGATTCTGGAAGATGTGGAGTTGCAATGAAGACCAATAAACACTCCGCATCCTTCAGAGGTCTTACTCGATGAATGGCGATATGTCAAAGACTACATACTACCTAACACACCGTGTGCAGCCTCTCTTCTTCACCGCTTTGACCGTCCAAGCCAAATACTTGAACGGAGGTGTTCCATTTGATTCGAAAATCAGTCGCCAACCGCCTTGATCCCATGTAAGGTAGTCAGAGAAATGGTGTGGTGGCGGCTGTTCTCTATGTTTCTGGGTCCTTCATGCTCATATTCGACATATGCATGCCTGGTGAATGCTGTCTTTCGAGGTGGGAGCGAACGAATAAGGCTCTCGGAGGGTCGAGCGGGTATTCAGTTGGGCAGCCGGTCCAGGGCCGACCAGTCTCACTTATGGCGGCCGGCGCCTTGCCGGCGTTTGATCCGGAAGACTACAGCTGGTCCGGTAATTACAGGCCAAAGATACCTGGTTTCAGTAGAACTTCCATCCTCTAGGTGATTTGCGAAATCAGCCCCGTCGTGTTCTTATGGTCACTCCAACAGCGTAGCATCGCCTCTGCAGGCCTATGCAAACTACAGTATTGGAGGCGGACGTGGCAAAGTCGGGCTTGGCTTGGCAGGAGTTACAATGCCAAGTGCGGAATGCGAGATGCGAAATGCGAATTGCGAGATTGAAACTGTAAGGTATGCTGTGAGAGGCACGCACCCAAATCAAGCACCATACAAATTAACATCGACATAAACTGGAACGTATATATCGATGTAGTACAAATACTCCCTCTCCAAGGCAAACAGGTTTCTCATGAGCCACGTTCGATACACTTCCTCGAAGCATTCGCTCGCAGCTTTGTTTTCTCGAAAAGCAAAATCAAAGCTTTCTTCGCTCTCAATTTTTTCCACCCTTTCAGGCGACATCGTCATGGCTCGAACAACCATGTCCCCAGGCAGTCATTGGCCTAGAACCAGCACGCTGCGAGGATGTCGAACCAATCGTCTTCTTCGAATGTTCCTCCTGTTCGGCCAGACTTTGATTGGACTTTCAGTTCTATCTACTCCGTTGCAGGCCTTTGCTTTTGGCAGCCTTGGCACCAATTCAGCGGTTCGCAGTAGCAGTTTACGACTCCTCGAACCGCGCGCCTCCCGTGAGGGCCAACCGGTCGTCGCCGTCAACCCCACCAACCCCGACAATAGTGTCTTCGTGTCGACACGCTTCCATCCTCTACCTGAACTTGAGCCCGTTGGGGGTTGCTTTCTGACCTATACGCTCGACCGCGGAACCACCTGGAATAACGTCACAGCGGATTTCCCCTTAGGTGCCGCCCCGAAGTGCGGCGAGCAACAGGTCTTTGTCGACGCGAATGGGACATTTTTTCTCCTCAACAACCAGGTCTTCTCCGGCTTGGAAGATAATATTGCCGCTCATCCCCAGTTGTCCAAGTCCATTGACCGAGGCAAAACGTGGAGTGTTCCATCTGTGACACCGCTTCATATGCAAGGTGCGACAAAGCTGCGGGTCGACGTGGCTACGGGAAAGGTGTACGCAAATGGTGCATCGTCTTGGGTATACCTAGCAGCTGTGTCTGTCAGCTCAGACGGAGGCGAGACCTGGGCTGTTTTCAATCAAATCCCCGGTCCCGTGGACGTCTGCCTGAACTATCAGATTCCAGACCTGCCTCCAATCTGTGGATTTCCCGGCAGATCCATTGCAGTTCACGACGGCATTCTGGCTTCGGCTGCGGAGGGCTCGAACGGACACCCAGAGATGTACGTGAGCCATGACGAAGGCGTGACATGGGAGACATTTCCCTTGACTGACGGCCGAGGCAACTTCGTGGCAAACGGCACCGACCCGATGCTGGCCAAGTCTGGCATTAGTCTTCCTAGTGATCCAACACCGTGGGTATCCACAGACCCTACCTCAACAGGTCGTTTCGCGCCTATGGTTCTACGCGACTTCACGCTAGAAGTTTACATCATAAATACCGTAAGTGAAAAGTTTACAGGTCTAGCCGGTATTTAGACTCTTGATGCGTAGCGCCATGCCTTCGACTGAGGTCCGAATGACCTCCTTAGTATCATGTGGCGCACTAATTTGTCAGATATCCTCGATATCTCCCCGACGGTATCTTTTGACGGGGGACGTAACTTTGCTGCACTAATCAAGGTGACGACACAGCCGCAGCCTGTTGGTCAAAATGGTCAGCCAGGCGACCGAGCTTCCTTTATCTCGCTCACTTATACCTATGCTTATATTACCTACTCTGACGGCCGCAATAGCTTACTGGACGCTGTTCTTGCTAAGGTGCCCCTAGATCTCTTTCAAACTATACTCTAGGCTATAGAGGTATATCAAAGTATCAGAACTCTTGGTATGGCTACTTAGGAGCGGCGCATATACAAGGAGAACATGAAGTATGTATAATTGATGATCAATAGATATCTCCTTACACTGTTTAATATTACTACTAAAGGTCAAATGATGAGTTCTGATCCAAAGTCGGGCAGTATAAAGCTACGGTTTCATACTTATTCTAAAAAACAGCCAAATTCTTATAATTTAATATCCGAAATCGCGTATTATAAGAGTAGCGCTTAAGATCCCTACTAGAGACCCCGGCGTCCACTTCCTGGACTGGTAAAGGCACGTGTTAATGACTTACTTAGGTAGAAGAAGAATACGGAAAGAGTCGAAATAAAACGACTTATTAGGATTCTAATTAATCCTAATAACCTAATACTCTCGTACTTACTATCTCGTCGTAATTAGAGTCCACCTCATGGCCTACGCGGGCTATGCGGCGAATATTGTACGCCTCTACAACACCGGGCAAGCGTCCTGATTTATAAATATATTATAATCCGAATAAAACTAAATACTTATTCCTGATATTTAATAACTGTTATTCTCGTTGCTTGCCCTTCTGTAATTCCATATATATAGTACTCTCCCACAAGTGCGTATTTACCGTTAGCTTCCTACCTGACTATAAACGGGACCTCAGACCCATATAGGGTATATACTAAATCCACCTTCTTAGCTCTTATAGGCACATAGCCTATTAATTCAATGTTGGTCGATGTAGAGCGCCGTAACTCTGTTAGGTTCAGGAGTGCCATAAGACCAGTAATTCCCTCGGAGCGATCCCCCTACAGTTAGAGAAAGTACTCAGGGACGACATCTACCTCGAGAGTTTAACGAACAAATGACGCAACATCCCTTATGATAAAGTCTGTGGAAGGTACTCTTTCCAATAGCATCACTCAATCTGACACATCCAGTCAGCCATAGAATTCTCTGACATACCTGCGAAAAGATGTTGAATAACAGTGTGTAATGAGGCAGTGGCAATGGTTTCCAGATTCAAATCTGAGCGTCCATCGTTATATTACCCATCGACATATAGTAGATATGGGATCTCTTTGAATAAAGAAGACTGGTTCGAGGTTATAAAGCATGAATGAATCGCAATTCGGATACTTGCAGCGACAGCACATATAGAACTTGCGTCTCAGTTGAAGTAATAGGCTTTCAACAAAAGCAACGCAGCAATTAAAACCTTGGCATGGCTGCAACCAGGCCATCAACTTAGATAGACAGAAAGCCCTTATTTGATCGTGAGAAGTATGGTTCAATTAGGAACGAGACTGGACAACACCCCATCTATGATTCCAATGTTCCATAGCGTGCGATTCGACAAGCGTTGAATCACCGATGGGCATGATTATTACACTGTGTCTTTTGGTGTTCACGCCAAAACTATGAGAAACAGGATTTCTCACAATCTGTGACCACGTCCTTGAAATGGCACGACAATTAGTTAACATCTCGTACTCCGTCACGCGATCGGTTCTTTTCTTACAACCCTTGACCGGAACATTACATGCAAATCTGATACCTCCTGCCTCAAGTACCAAGCCAGCCAAGGCAAGGTATCTAGATAGATCGCTACATGTGAGCGAGCTGTCTCAAGCCCAATTCCGATCCACTACCATCCATATTTCAGCAAAAAGGTCGCAAAAACATACAACACCAGGTATTCGCTGGTCGTCACCGACCCAACTACTAATCTAGCCCTCATTGGCTTGTCTATGGGAGAGCGGACGGGATCCCGAATTTTCCAGTGGGTATGGTCGTATGTGAAGGTATCAAGAGTTGAGGCGGGTCAAGTCGCACCGCAGAACAGAGATCAACTTGTCATCAGCGCCGACCTAAGATCGATTCTTTTTACCCAATCAGTTTAAAATTCAGTTTTGAGTAGACCGCTGCTTTCATTTCTTCCCTCAGAGCGAATCAGCAAGATTCAATGTGTTCATGGGAGGCACAGTGCAACCACATCTTGATTATCCATTGGTATATTTATTGAGAAACTAAGAAATGAGAAGTGCATGAGAGTACGGCATAGGCCCAAGCTGTGAGTGACATATCAATCGGAATGATGTTGCAGTTGATCAATGAATAAGGGGACAGTCGTCTCGGGCCTTGGGCGCGAGGACGTATGAATGAAAACCGCCGCGAGGGCACCATTTCATGGGCTTGCCACCTAGGTCGGTTGTAGGACATGCGCCTTTTAAATGCCATCACACTACTGATACGCCGAAAATGTTGTCTTATTCGAAGCCCTTCTCTCTTTATACATCCTGTCCACTATTATGCGCTCTATATTTCAGCCTCAATCCTTCTTCAGCCCCTCGCTGGCCCAAGTTTGACCCATCAACATCTATAAGAGCTGAAAGTCTCCACCTGCAGTCGAGATGGATTGTCAAACCGCGATCTCTCGTCATAGTTGGCTTTCAGATTTCGGCCTGAGCTTCCTTCTGCTCCTCGGGCTTGCGTGCGTAAACGACATGGCTGGAACCCACGGTTAGTCTGTTTTGAGCCATAGAAGATAGGAGATTGGTATTGTGGTATTGACTTACAGGTGGAAATACGCTTGGAGCTTTGGATCTCTGAGAGCCTTACGCATCTCTGCAACAAAGACAATGATCTCGGCATACTCCCACCCCATGATCTCCTTGAGCAAGAACAAGGCGAATCCCTCCAGTGACTGATCATTGTACAGCAGGTTGCACTCACCAACCTCCTTCATCTTTGGATCCTTGGGCCAAGCACCAATGGGGATGGAATATCTCTTCTCAACGATGTCGACATAGCCGACTGTTTCAAGAGCTCTGGCAATGCCGCGGTTGTGGGTCTGGGCCAGTGTCTTGCCGAGCTTATCAGCTGCCTCAAAAAAGACCGGCGCCCACCGACTGAAGACGTGGTCCTTAGGGATATCGTCACCGTAAAGTTGCGATCGAGTCGTGATGTCGAATTCCTTGACTTCGACATAGCCTCCGGGAACCAGATGGTCAAAAGCTTGCTTGTACAATGCCGGCCAATCCGCGATACTGGCTTCCAGGTGGCGGATATGAATGAAGTCGAAGTCCTCGGACCATGTCCACGGCTGCTCGATGTCGTCAACTTGAAACTTGCAGTTCGGAGGAACCCAGCCAGGCTGGATGGGAGAGATGTCAACCCCAGTTACTTGAGCAGACGGAAATTCGTCGGCGAAATCGCTAGATTCTGGGTGTCAGAACAATACGTCTCGAGATCTGACTTTAGAGACTCACATAGCCCATATACCAGTTCCAGTTCCGAGATCGAGGACTTTCTATGGGGCTTTTTAGAAACCAGAGATTGCTCGTATGCTCAAAGTGAGCTTGCTTACTTGCGGGCTGTCGCCAATAGGCGCCAAGAACAATTTGTCATCGAAGAAAACGATCTCCCAATAGTGACTTGTAATAGACATATCAACGTCAGCTGCGATGATCTCACGACTTTCATTTGCACCGAGTAGGCAATTAGCAGGCAACTTGGTGCTTACGCAATGTCCAGCGCTTCGTTCTGCTTCTCGTCGTTGGGACCCCAGTAGTCCGTCTTTTGGGAAAAGGTTCGGCCATGTATGCGACGGTACTCAGTGATGCTTTCGCTCAAAGACGCTGTAGAGGTAGTGCGGGTACTGCCAGCATTACACCCCGTATGTCAGTATTCAGTACTATCGGATGCACGATTATGAGGGTTAAGCGGAAATAGAAATCACCTCTCTGTATCTGCCTGGGAACTTTCTTCCCCATCGGCATCAATACCTTCGTCCTGCACTCCATGTCAGTACGCTGGTCCTTCGAACGCTCATGCATGAGTGTGTTCTCTTCTAGATCTTTCATAGTCTTCGATCATCGACATGATCGTAAGTAGCAAGCGGCATAAGGTAGCTCACATGGTTATCAGCGTCTACAGTCGCCGCAATCTCATTTGCAGGAGTGGCGGCTGCCGCGGTCGCGACGTTCGGAGCCTGCATTTCGCTTGAGTTCTGTCAATTGTGCGTGCAGGTTGGATGTGTAATGTTGTGAATAAAACAGTGATAATGGAATATGGATGATGTTAAAGAGCAAGAGAGAGGTAAAGGCCGCGTGGAGCACGGAATTGCCCCTCACCTCAAGTGAGCAGTTTGGGTGCTCCATCCATTCTCCCTTCAAGTTGATCCACTGCATGGTCTCGGCGAGCGCCTCCGTCTCCGCGAGCGAATGAGAATCATTGTTGCGGTCACACGAAATGCAGGATTTAAGCGGTTTTCGGAAGGTAAACGCTGGTTTCCACGTTCAGAGATGAACCAACAGAGGATCAGTCCCAGCAAGTGCATGATGTGACAGGGGTTAGGCTCTGTTGGTTCCAACCGAGGCAAAACGCCTGTAGCTTTAGTCAGACGAGTCTCAAAAACCAGATATACAATACAGGAGTTCTTTTTCAAGCTTTTACGGTTGTTCAGAGAAGATCCGCTGATATCGATGAAAAGTTCTAAGCAATATCGACTTAGTTACAGACTTGCAGGGCTCTAGAACATCGTACCGGTGAGTTCAAATATTTTCGCGCGGTCACGAGAACTGCACTCCGCCAACATATTCACTCGATTACTAAGATTAATGGGTTGATACAAGGACGTGAGGATAACTGATGTCATTTTCTTATTCTACTAGTAGAGTCTTACAAGCTTAGGCTTGACACCGAAACATCGTTTAACAAGCGAGTAAAGTATATCGTCCTAAAAACCAAAAGGCTTCAACTGCTTGGCCGTTAAGCTCGTCATTTTCAGTTGCTCGCAGTTCGTTCAAGGTCGATTTGCAAATAAAAGGTCATGAAGTCCATAAACCTGCCACTTGACACCTAATACTCCTCATCCGATGAGCTCATAGCAATATCCTAGCCCTAAACCGAGTTGTTATGATAAGTAGACGCCCAGAGAAACAAGAACTTCATATAAATCTGAGAGAAAGCAAACTATATGCTATAGTCATCTACTGTGTCTTAACGTGGCAATTGTCTGCACATAGACGGAACATGAACACCCATTGGATTCTTGGTACTGACGGAAGCGTCATCTTTGCCCATTCGCTCTGTTCCTTCAGCTTCCAGTTCTCCAATCCGCTATCAGCGACTGCGAACAGCCCAGGGACTGGCGTCACATTCCAGTCGTTTGCCTTTTGCAAACCGAGTTCAGCCTATTGATCATGCCAACATCCCGACAGAAACCTCGGTTTTCAGGTAGTAAGAAGCTCTTGCTGCATTGATCCCTGAGTCGAGTTCCCATCAAGCCTCTGAAAAAAGTCTTTGGTTTCGCCATCTTCTTTGGAGCCAAAGATAATGTTGAAGTTTGCATACTCCTCTACCCGTTTACGATTTTCCACAGAAACTATGACTGTAGTTCCGGATTAGTCTCCGCAAACCGGGTCAAATGAGTTCGTGCAGCCTTACCGATGCGCTCCTCGCCGTTGGACCCCAGAGTCCAGATTGTGTTGCAGCTTCGATCTCTGTGTGAATGGCAACGATCTTCTGACAGACTAAGAAAGTTCCGATGCTCCAAAGAGTACGTTAATTCTCCTGGTCATTCAAAGGTGGGAAGAGTGTATGTAGGATTTCTCCTGTGCCGCACACCGTTTGGGCGTAGTCCGCGACGGGAGATAGGTATTCGAAGGGTCCAATGGGAGGACGAGCTGACCAATAGTGACCACGACTTAAATCCCAATTAAGGAATATGACATTTCTACCCGGGGAACGATCGAACCACAAGTCAACTAGTTCTCTGTTTGCGACAGTCTTTGCCTGCCATTTCTCATCTCGCGGGACTGGAAACCCCGCAACTTTTCTAGATTCACGACAGACGGCCGCGATGACTGGGGGGATAGAGTTGAGCTTGTACGTCATTTGATAAGTGCACTCCTCAGTTCCGTCATTTTTCGACATCGATCCATCGCAAATGTACCCTCCCTAATGAGGTTTGTTTATGTCACGAGTTATGGCACACAGGAATGGGCATGCGGAATATGGTAAAGTGGCTTAACCTATCAAAGTGGAAATAGACAAAAGGAAAAGGTCTATATACAAGATGTTTGTGATATACACGTGATACAGCACGTGAAGGACATTTTGTGAAGTGCAGTTACGATCCCTGTTACGTGACAGTTTATCTCGACAATGCGGACGTGAGGTAGACATTAATTCCAAATGGCTCGGCGAAGCTCTAGAGGGAGCTCAGGGAAGAGATGGAACTCTTGAGGCTGAAGTGTTGCCATTCTTCACTCTGTCTGAATGTTGTTTTTTGATTTAGGAAACAAAAATCCACGGAATTCAGCTGAGGTTATCGGGTTTCCTGGGTTTCCTGTCAAGAGGCGGTCGCATCTAAGGAATCTACCTACTTGTAACAATGAGGGAACCCGACAACGTGGGAAGCCCTGGTTGACAGGTGGGCCCGCCACATGCCGACGCGTTGATGCATTCAAGACAATCCTAGGCCCACGGTGCCAACCCCGCCTGGCAGCAGAACAATGTTCTCTGCAATGAGTCTAAAAGGCCGGGCAGAATATTACACAAGTCTTTACCTTACTCAAACACAATCAAATTGCGCAAGCTGCTCGACTAGCTAGGACTTGGCGGGCCATGAGAGGTCCAATTGGCCGATAGCAAATTACTCGCTATCGCTATCGCAATTTACACTCAAAGCCGATGATAAGAGTCTATCCCGATTTCCGAAATGAGCTTGCGGGGCCCCGGGATCGGCCCTGGACGATGACAATAAAAGTTGTGGCTATTCGCTGTTGCGTCTCATGTTCAGTCACGCCCGGTATTGAATCTTTCAGCCCGCTTGATCCTCAGTCGCAATGGTGAACGTTTGGGCATCAGCGCTCCTCGGCGCTTTCATGTTGAGCGCCTACGCTCAAGCTCAACTTGGCGAAACAACACCACTTCTATCGTATGCCAATGTTACGTCTGTCCTTGACACCATCCTTGCTCGCGGATACATAAACGTCGGCACAACTGGGGACTACAAGCCTTTCACGTACCTCGTCACGAACCAAACGACCCTGCCGAACACTACAGCAATCAACACAACCTACATCGGCGCCGACATCGATGCCGCACAGTCCCTGTCCAACGCCCTTGGCCTGCCTAAGCCTCCCCGCCTCGTCGCGACGAAATGGGCAAACATCACGAGCGACTTGTCCGCCGGCAAATTCGACATTGCCATGGGTGGCGTCAGCCTGACTCTTGCAAGAGCTAAAACTGCCTTATTCTCCACAGCGATCCAGAGAGTCGGCAAGACAGCCTGCATCCGTTGCGCCGATGCAGCCAAGTTCACCGACCTCGCATCGCTCGATCAGGCCGGCGTCAAGGTTGCCGTCAATCCTGGCGGAACCAATGAGGCGTTTGACAGGGCGAATCTCAAGTCTGCAACAATTGTCATGGTGGAGGATAACAACGCGGTTTACCAGGCTGTGCTAGACGGCACTGCTGATGCCATGATTTCCGACCTGATTGAAGTTGAGTTGCAGGTCAAGCTGCACGAGGGCGAGCTTTGCATTGCCAACCCTGACGCACCATTCAACTTCGAGGAGCTTGGATATGCGGTTCCGAGGGATATTGTATGGAAGCAGTTCGTTGATGCTTGGGTCCATGTGCAGCTAGGAAGCGGTTCTTGGAACGGTACACTCGAGAAATGGTTGAACTACAAGTGGCCTAGCGTTTAAATGTCCTGGACTTCATGCCGGAAATAGCAGTTATTAGTACCTAATGCCATGAATGATAACAAAATCCTGTTGTATGAATTGGAGATTTTGTTGACGCTATATTCGTAACGATTGAGAATATGTCATCTTGAACTAAAGCTTCGACGAGGGTGTCTGACTTGTTACTTGCAATTTTGCAAGTTTCACCGCATGTGCTGCCATTCCCCTACGTTCACGTTAGCAAAGCGACATCATCACACACTGTATCTTCGTCTCAACTCACCAAGATGCCTGATATCCCGCCCCAGATGCTCCGTAATTATGTACGACCAGCCCCTCATCTCTCTTCTCAACCTCGATTCTTGGTCCGCCTTTACGATTTGGTCTCAGCCCGACGCCGTGCTTGATGATTTTCAAGTCTCCGGGCTTCCCCAGCTCTGGGGCCAACGCGCAACAACGCTGGAGGATAGTCTTTGTCAACTCGGGATCGACCTCCTTGTCCCAATTTCCGTCTTGACGACATCCGCCTAGAACAATGCCGCCTGCTAGAGGCCTCTGGAAGATGTAGGTGGTGTCGTTGTCTACTCTTCGAGGTGAACGGAAGTACATCCTCTTGAGGGGCTCAATCGGCTGCTCGACCAAGATGGTTTGCCCTCGAGTCGGATACATGGACTTGTCTTCCACTCCACCAAGGAAGTAGGACCCTAAGCCTGTACAGTTGAAGACCGTGGTGACATCTGAAGAGATGCGAGCCTCATTGATGTGACCAATCTTTTGACGGACCAGAATGACTTTGCTCTGTCTGCATTGCTCAAGAAGCCTATTATACCTAGTCAGGCTATCTGCGTATCACAAGATATGAGTGAAAGACTGTAACTTACCATTGCAAGTAGATTTGAGTGTTGATCACAAAGGTATTAGGTACATCAAGTCCAAACACGGCTTTGTCGGGCAATTCGTCCGTACGAAGTGGCACAGTGCCCCCAACCAAGTCATCGTACCACAGCTTGCCAGTTTCCACACTAAGAATGCCTGCATCCTCGATCTTTTGGTCGAAGATCATTCGCAGCGGCGAACTTTTAATTCCCGCTTCTGGTGCGCTCTTTGCAATTTTCCTAAATCGCTCAAACGCGACACGGTCGAAAGATTCGAGAAGACCATTATCGTTGGCCGAGGAGCACCAATTACCTCCGGCCCACGGCGAGCAGTAGTCGATGTTGTAGTCGCCGGGGAAGTACTCTGCTAGGATCGTGATCTTCACGGATGGAAATTCGGCTCTGAGGGTCAGTGCGGTAGTGAGACCGATGACGCCGGCACCGAGGACAACGAAGTGTTGCGCGGGGGTCGTCATATCGTCGTGTCTCGGATGCTGTGAGGTTGACGGGTGCTTGGTAAGGGTGATGTGAGGTTGACACCGCCGGGCCTGTTCGAGATCCAGTTGGCAGTGGTGTGTTGGGGTAGCTCCGGTCCGGGCCGGCGGTGTTTACAGCCGATTGATGATAAATGTCCGAAGTCGGCCTGAGCCATGGCGCAACGGGGCTGGGCGGATTGTGGAATATGTCTTGGCCACCCCAGTAGTCAGCTTGGCTACAGTATCAGCGTCAAAGTGCAACAGTCCATCCTTGGGGAACTCCAACAATAAACCGAGGCGAGTGATATATTGCACATCCAGGAAAGTTCATCTCTCAGGCTCAACTTCCTAAGATCGGTTGCGTCGTACGCGTAGAGTAGATCACATGGCTAATGTTGGACATATCCTTGGAACATCAGTACAGGCTGCTCCATCAAGATGCAAGGGTTCGAACTTGTATTACTGAGCACTTGATTCTTGAATCAGTTTTCATTCTCGAAGACCCTAAGTACAATTTAATTGTTTGCAAACGCCGCGCGCAGAAGTTCCTGCCGTTAGGACTGTGTCATCATCAATAAACAGTTGCGATCACATCTTTTTTCCAGCCTTGTCCTCTCCTAATGGATTACTCTGCTGCACCCCCTCGAGGCTCACTCCTTTCTTCTGTTGCGAAGCCATGGACGGCATTGTGTTCTGGTCTCCACTGTGTCTCTGAAGATCATTCAGCCAAAGGGCATTGCTGCCAATCCGAACTGGAGGCCTACTCTCTCTTCCTCTACCTCTGCGTCGTGTATGAAGTCATGGCCGGCTTCAACGGCGTCGTCCGACAGACCGTGTTCCTTTAGCCCGTGATCTTGTCTGTTCGACATCTCGCAGTGGTTGATATTGAATGGATAATTTCTCTTGATCACAAGTTGAGTTGAATTGCGATTCTTTCAATCAGAAGGCTTAGGCATTATCTGCTTCACAAAACACGCGGGTTTCCCCTCGTTTTATAATCTTCAGCGGAGTCAAGATGGCCGAACGTCATGAAGTTGTCTAAGTGAGGGGTCTACGGTTCCTCCTGCGAAGCATGTACACCACCATCAGTCAGGGCACGGTGAGAAACCCCGCATTCATCACGATAATTCATCCACTCTTATTCATCTACAGACGTGCAGTCGCGGGGTCAAGCTTTCCATGATGACGGTCTATGCCTGGCTGGACTGGTCCACCAGCCAATCGTAAAGACACGCACCTAAGATTGGTTGAAGCTAAAGGCAGTCGCGGAGATGAGGAAGGGTGAGAAAGCAAATGGACGATCGGGTCTATCGGTAGTGATCTCGAGAGCGATTAATCCTATCTTAGGTATGGAACTTGACTATTTTACTTCCCATTGGGCGAGGTGTATGATATATCCTGGCTTACATCAGTCTTTACGCGGGTTGGGTGCATAAAAATCCGGCAGGATCTATGCGACAGACTTCAAGGTTATGACCACGATGAAGGCGCCGGTGCGAAAATAGTGAGATGAACCAAATCGACAACTTTCTTTGTTTGGTGACTCTGTTTGATTCAATTATGAGTCTGGTAGTTACTGCACCTATGTAAAAAGATGCACGATACTGCATAGCGCCAAAAGAGCTCATTCTCGAATGCTTCGCTTCGCACTTGCTTTGCTTGGAATTCTTGTGACACAAGTACGTCGTTGGCTGAATCTAAGGGTACCTCACCTAAATGTCATATATTATGTACTTTCGAGTCCATTGGCCTCGAGTCCCACAGCTCCGCTTAGTAAAACAATCTGAGCCAGGGACTGGAAATTTTCCTTTATGCTGTAGTCTCACAGGATTTGAACTTGCCTTTATTATATAGCTTGGTTCAACTAGATCGCTTATTCATGACTATCATGTTACTTTAATTCATTGACACATTATACTGACAGTCATAATTAACTGCATCATTAGAACCATCACCCAGCTCTGGGAAGACAAGCCCATAGCGCCGCTGGTTGACACACTCTTGCTCGCGCGCGCGGCCTCATCCTTCGATCGATCAGGGTCATCGCCTATCGGCTGAGTGACCCAGTCCTTGGGAATCTGCGCAATAAAGTCGTACCAGTAGTCACCCATCGTACGGTAACCCTCATCCGTCGGATGAATGCAATCGTCTCTCAGAATGCCGGTCCCCAAAGCCGCAAAGTCCACAGCCAGGACGTGGCGGCTGGCGTTTCTGCGCTGCTCGACAATGCCCGGGATGAGTTTCTGGTACGCGACCGTCGCGGCTTCCTGTTCGGCGCTGCATGTGTCGACGATTTGGGCGACGAGGATGGTGGCGTCGGGGCACGCGGTGATCATCTGGTCGATGAGGGAGCCCAGTCGCTCGGCGGCGGCCGCCGGGTCGTTGCCTTCGGTGGAGACTGCCGGGTTTGGGTTCATGTCGTTGGTGCCGGCGTGGAGGAGAATTATGTTGGGTCTTTGTACCAAGGATGGGCCTACGTTGTCGGCGATGTACTTGATCGTTTTCCCAGACCAAGCAGCCTGCAACTTGTCAGAATTGGGAATGTGGAAATAGGACCTATTCTGTTGACTAACATAGTATCCATCGCTCATGTTTCCACCGTAGACTGTACCGGCGAAAACGACTTCGTTGGCTGTGATGGTTGTCAGATATGGGGCCTTTCCAGTTCGCCTGATTGTAGTGGAGTCCATGATTGAGCTTCTCATGCCCGGTGAGTTAACATACCAGAAAGGTCCTCATCAAGTTTGAGCCTGTAGCCATTTCCATCGCTGCTCAGATATCCCACAGTGATAGAATCACCCACAGGAAGTATTCTCAGCTTGACACCATCTTTGATAACCTGTCCCGCTGATGTTGCCTTGTACTCAAGGGAGTCGGCAGCGAGCGTCAGCGGGGTAATTAGGGCGATGATGCTGGCGATTGAAAACCTCATCTTGAGGGCCGAGGGCTGGGTAGACGAGACGACACCATCGCGAAAGCCCTCTCAAGAAATTAAGCAGTAGTGTGCGGGTATCAGCCACTTCAAATAGTCCGACGTAGACCAAGGCAATTCTCAATCGTCAGCAACCAACCCGTAGACCGATGAGGGCGATGAACGCATCCCTCGGGCACAGCTAGCCGCGATCCACCACATCCAACCCAAATTTAAAGGGTCAATGCCAGGCACCATCTTCGCTAAGCACTGTAAGCAACGGGCTGGGCTACTTGGTGCCGTTGCATTGAGGGCGAAGTGACCGAAGGGCCCCGTTTCTCGACTCCACAGGGAATGGGACCATGCCGTGTGGTCCGGCGGTTTTCTCCTCGGTCAAAGAAGGGCATTCTCCTCTTTGGCACCCTGCGCTGCACACCACCGGCCATGTTCGCGAGTCACGAGTGAAGTCTCAACGGAACCAACGTGATCAAAGAGCGTTGAAGCCGTTGGAGGGGTTTTCGAAATGGCCCGTCAATCTCACCCTGCAGGGCCTTTGCTACGGTATCAATGGCTGCAACTGGCCGCGTGGTGGGCTGCCGGCAGTTCGCCAAGGTGGTCTAGCTCGGCTCTCTAAGGTGCCTAGGTGGCACGGGAGGCGCTGCAAAACCTCGTCATCTGGCTTCCGGTGCGAGACGACGGCGTGGCCGGGTTAGCCGGGCGCAAAGAATGGGGGGAATGTTCAAAGACGACGGAGCCTCGGACACGAGAAAGTGGAGGAAACATCAAATGGGAATGGAGTTCCTTTTAGTCTTACTTGCCTGCCTGCTGCTCCCAGTAAGGCTTTTGTAAAAGTTTGCCCGCTTACCAGGCCCCTTTTGCCTTTGTGCATGAGTTCTTCGGGCCGCTCCCTTGCGCCAGCACGAACGCCATTTCTGTGCGCTCAACTTGTCAGATGGCAGCGCATGAACCCCTTGACATGAGATGCCAATGCGGCGGAGGATTTTGCTACAGGATGCTCCCAGTTCTTTGAGCCACCCCAGTGCCCCTTTTTCTCTATCGATGAATTTTCCACACCAACGAAAATTTTCTTTTCTATTTTTTGACACGGGAAACACCACCAACAGGCACAACCATGCCTCCAGAATACGCAGCTGAGGGAGACGTGGATTCCAAGCAGCAACCGAATTTTAGTGTGCTAGAGGCTCCGCGTGATGGAAATATCTTAGGCATGCTGCGTTGGAACCGCCCTTGATAGCACTGTTAGACGGAGACCGATGACTTCATAACTGGACGCCGTTGCTCCAAGTTCCAACCAACTTGAAAGCTTAGCCATCCCATCGCTGCCGCTGATCCCCCATGGCAAGTGGGTATCATCCACCGCCATGTGCTCTGACGTCGCTAAGACTCTCTCCATTACTACATCGGCATTCTCGGCGCGTCCACTGTTTACAACGTCAGTTCGCTGTCACGTCAAGTCTGCCCCGCGCGCCATGCCCGTGATGGCTTCGGCTTTAGGTAGTGGGTTGAACTAAATGCACGTTTCTTTGTCTCTCTAGTCAGCCATCATTTCTCCTACAACATGCGACAAAAACATGATGGTGGATATCAAGAGTAAGAGGGTCTGTGGCTATCAGCCTGTGCCACCAGGCTCTGCTAGTGCCGTCAATCCTGAGATCTAGTTGCCTTGGCTGGTGAGATTGTCACAATAGTTTCAACTTTATGAAGCACGCGAAGACGAGGCTTCGCGACATGTGGAGAATAAAGAGAATGTATACTAAACGAACGATCTATTACAACCAGAAACCAAACCACTTTTTCAAATTCTACTTCCTAAGAAAAAACGCCATTCCAGACCAAAAGAGCTGCCGAGCCTTGAGGTATCGTGTCTCACCATGCGCATCCCTAACACATCCCACTAGGTGGAGTTATCGCTGACGTCGCCATCGTAACCCCCGTCTGTCTCTTCGTTGCATGTGTCAATGATGGCCTGCTCAGCCTCCTGGCACTGCGTCGACATCCCACACAGGATAGCAGCCACGCGGTACTCACAAAGCTCGTCATCACTGCACTCGCCAACCGCGCAACAGGTCCAATCACTCGTAAAATACTTCTCCTTGGGGGGAGACTCTGTTGAGGACTCAGTGGAAGACTCGGCAGGAAAGGTCCGCGGGCGGGCGTTGAATTGAGGGAAGTTACCTGGACGGTCGCTGAGGGTATGGTTCTGGGCATGGCCTGCGTTACAACATTCCTTGCATTGGACGAGGAAGCCGGCGCGCTGCGAAGCCTTACGCGAGACGGCGTGGGAAAGGCATAGCTGGAATGTGTTAGCGCTTGCCACATCGGGGCACTCATCTGGGTAGATCGTCATGAGAGGAAGACCAAGCAGAGTGCCATTTGTGCGGTACCCCATCTCCTTTGCCTTTTCACAGAGGTGATAGAGAGGCTCTGGCGTTGATGTGAGACGCAAGAGTGGAAGACGGATGTCGTTTTTCTCAGAGAGGCAATTCTTTGTGCAACACACAATCAAAATCTCGGTTTCTTGACACATTTTGTTGAAGGAGGAGTTTTGGTAGTGGGGTTGCTAGTGGATCGGATTATGACAATTATCCTGGAAGTATGACGAGCGTGCTTGCTGTGGATGTAGACAATGATATTTGGGAGACGCTGAGAACATGAAACTTGGACACGAGGAAGGCCGAAGTATTCGCTGGATATATACGCGTTGTGAAGCCGAGTTGGGTGCTTTGATTGAGTTTAGTACCACTGGAACGAGATGGTATAGTACAAAGCTGAACATCGAGACAAACAAACCTCAAGGCATCCAAAGCCGACATGATGCAGTCAAAAACTTGACAACAATGCAAGAGAACCTGCCTACAATGCTCAAGGTTCAATATGCCCTGAAAGGACATTTACAACTCTTGTCATCGGGCCTTAGACCCGAATAAAGAGCAAGACTCAAGAGGAACACAACAAGCTTGTATTAGGCACTAGAGAAACAGCCAGGCTCAATCAAGATATACCTGCATTTCGGGATAAGGCTGCGCCATACCCGAGAAGTTGTTTGAGAATATCAAGTTAGGCTAAACCAGTTGTTCAAGTATCGTATTACAGCGTATACAGCCAGCCTTCCATGCCCTCATTCCTGCGGTGCCCTGCTTTTGCTGCTTTATTGCAGCGCCACAAGTAGACATCCATAATGATGATCATTGTAATGCTCACCATAGAGATCGCGAAAGTTGTCCAGATGCCGGTCTAGAATTCGAAATAGATGGTCAGAGAACAATGCGTCAAAACAGATTCTGGCAATGCATCAACTTACAGTGTAGTGAGGACTTTCTTTGGACATGAAAGCTGTGCTTGCGATAATGCCACCCAGGCCGCCTCCAATGAGACATGTTGCGCTTGAGACTGCGCGTTTTGAGTGTGAAGTAATGTTGTTTGCTTGGAAGGTAAGCACGCCAGGGACGCAAAACTGAAGAAACCCAATACCTATAGTAAGTAGAAGTGAAGTTAGTCATAGTACCTTGTACAATCACCTATGGCTCATACGAACGAACATACCAAGGAAAGCTCCAAAATAGCGAGCACCATTAGCTTTGCCGTATACGGTGATCAACATGCCAACAGCAGTCAAAGCTTGATGGACTGCAATGATTGGCCCTCGAATCTTGTACCTGTCTCCAAGATAGCCGGAGATGTAGGCCACGATCGCTGCTAGAACGTAGGGAGGCGCAGAAAGAAGTTGTGCCTGGGTGCTGCTGAAGCCCATGCCATTGCGAAGAATAATTGGGAGAAAGTAGGAGTAAGCGTATCCAGGAAGTGTCGAAGCCATGAGATTGAACGCCCAAAAGTACAGCCTCCAGTCCTTGAGGTGATGCAGAATCTTGGCCAGATTAATGTGGTCCTCCTCAGCATCGCCGCGATCTTGATTGATACGGGCAATGACGAACTCTTGCTCCGCCGGCTTCAGGAACTTGCCGGCCTGTGTCGGAAAGTCGATGATGATGAACCAGCCCAGAGCACACACAACCACGGTAATTGCGCCCTCGATGATGAAGATCCCTGTTATATTTGATGAGCACGATGTCGCAATTTCAAAAGACTTGTCAAGATCTCAACTTACAGCTCCAGCCGTTCAGTCCACTCTTTCCACGGAGAAGAGTCAGGACATATGCAAAGATTGCAGAGAAACCGCTAGCAAGGACAGAAAGGATCCAAAAACCAGAAAGTCTTTTCCCCACTTCAAAGCGTGTATACCAGCAAGTAATCAAATAGGTGCAACCTGTTGAACTTCCAATGTTAAAATCTGTTTCAACCAAGACCTGGTGTCAAACCCTGAAGGACGATGACCGTACCTGGTAAAAAGCCTGCTTCCAATATTCCCAAAAGAGCTCGACAGACTGCCATAGCACCCCAGCTCTTGGTGAAGCCCATTCCGATCAGGACCACGCCAAAGCCTACACCGAGGAACGAAAGCCAGTTTGCGGGTCCTGCCTTTGGCAGTACGAGATTCTGTTACAGCGGTCAGCTAAAGTCTCCATCACAATCGAAAACACACGAGGGTCGTACACTGGGTATTTCGAAGAGACTAGTGAATTCGTCAGCATTCTTTGATCACTGCTGGGACATCTTGAAGGGACGGACATATATGCAACAAAGAATACCATCACAATGACAGTGTATCTATTTCCCACAGCCAGCCCCAGATCTTCCTGCATGCCCGCAACCAAGGCAAGGCCGAGATTCGTTCGATCGATGAGGGAAATCGAGTACATTATGCCTAGAATCGGAAGTAGACGAATATCGATGCGACGGCTGAGTTCGTAGTTAGCATTTTTTTAGTTGCGTACGATGGACCCGTCAGGTAACTTACATGACTTTCTTCTGCTCGGCCTCGGTGAGTCCACAGATCTGGCCGACATCTCGTCCCTTCACATCCTCCACGTGAGTTGAATCATGAGTCTTTTCGTCAATGGTACGAGTGCCGAACTCTTCATCTCCTTGGTGAAGGTCGCCAGAGGCTCTTTGTTGCTCCATTCTGATTGATATTTTCCTGATGAGTTGAGGTTGTAAGCAGATTAAGCAAGACACCCAAGTTCTGCTCCAGCTCAAATCCGAGATCCATTGTACAAGACATGCTAATCATTCTCTTAAGTATTCGCAGGGGTCTTCACCAGGAGTCATCGCCAAGACAGACATATCCATCAGAATGCGATGGTGACCTGTTTCCATCAACCACCATGGGCCTAATCCAGGCCGAAGCAAGCCTCAAAGCAAGCCTCCATTTCGCTTGACACCTAGCAGCTCCGAGAGAAAGGTTGGATGCGGGGTAATCCGGGGTAGTGCGGGGGACGTGGTCGCTTCCTGCACAACTAGCATCAAATCCGGACTCCCAGAACGTGCCTTTGCGAGATGCAAAGTCTCATAAGCAGTCTGATGATTCGCTGAACACCAATCATGAGAGTGGAGGGGGAGCGACGCCACTGAGTCAGGGCGCTAGAGTCAGAGTCGCAGACTCTCGGACCATGTGTCAGTAGCTCAACCTCCGCTCATCAACCGCACCTTAGCAACCGCTAGCTCAACGCCAGCCAAGAGTTGGTTATCCCTTCACTCGGGAGAAGAGACCCGGCATTCTGGCTCGCGAATGATGATGGCTTCAATACAGAAATCTAGCCCTTGGGCTGGTATGATTACGTGGTTAGTATGGGGTGCTGCACCGCAACCATTTGCTCTCGCAGCTGAGCACCACACCAACACTTTCCGAAAGTGCATGGGAGACTCCGACTCGAATGGAAAACTGGGGAGCTCGCTTGGCATAGATGGTAAGATCCCCGCAGTGTTACCCAGCTCCACGAGGCAACTCATTCGTACTTCCCCTCGCATGCACTTGCGTTGATGAAATCTACGGGGCAATGAGTGTGGGAAATGGTTTATAAAGGTAGTAAGATGATGGCTGTTTGTCTCGAGGGGAGTCGGAATGAGAACCTTCCCCTAGTTGATATCCACTCTTGACCATTAGTGTTTCTATTCATCATGACAGTCTGGCTTTTGTTGATGACATGGATCTTAGGTCAAAGGGTTCTGGGTCTGCCTTCCAAAGGCTGTGTTGATCCTCAACCGCTGACTTGCGACAAACTCGAGATACCGCCAATTGACGGCTTTAATGTCATAGTCACCGAGAGCAATGAGGTCCGCGACTATGTTTTACCTACTGACCCAACGTCGAAATTCGACTTTTGCAACTTTACTCTAGCACTCAATCACCATGGCGCAGACGACGTTGTGTTTGTGAGCATTTGGCTACCCTCTGAAGATACCTGGAACGGACGCTTTCTCGCCACTGGTGGTGGCGGTCTTGCTGCGGGTACCTTTGCCTCAGCTCTTGCTGGTCCCGTCTCCAAGGGATTTGCTGCTGGCTCGACGGATGCCGGGCTAACGCTGAATCACACGATTGACGCGAACTCTGGTCAATGGGCTCTCAGAGCCAGCGGCAGTATCAACGAGCCATTGATCGAAAACTTTGCCACGCGGTCCATCCATGAGATGGCCCTTATCGGCAAAGAGGCAGTCAAGGCATTCTACGGTACCAAACCCCACCACTCTTACTACAGCGGCTGCTCCCAGGGTGGACGACAGGGCTACTTCGCTGCTCAATACGATCCGTATGACTTCGATGGTGTCCTGGCCAATGCCCCAGCCATCAACACACCTCAATTATCCCCTGCGGACTTTTGGCCATCGGTGGTCATGGGCAACATTGCCGCACCACCACAGTGCGTTTTCCTGGAGTACCAAAAGGCAATCATTGCGGAGTGCGATCCACAGGATGGCGCAAAAGATGGCCTCATCTCAGCGCCCGAGAAGTGTCAGTTTGATACCAGCCAACTCATTGGGCAGAGCATCAACTGTACTGATACTGGTGGACCTGTCGTGATAACGGAGGACTTTGCCGAAGTCATTGCGAAAACACTTGAAGGCTCAAGAACTACAACAGGCAACTTCTTGTGGTATGGAAATCCACCAGGCGCGCCCTTCACCGGCCTCGCCAACACGAAGACGGTTGATGGTGTCACCGTGCCGGTGCCATTCGCCGCGGCCGAAGCATGGATGCGATATTTCGTAGCACAGGACCCAGATCTCGACACCGCATCTCTCACGTCCGCAGAGTTTGAGGATATCTTCAACGAGTCTGTGGCAAAGTACACGAAGCCTTTTGGATCCGATGATTTCGATCTCACGGAGTTCAAGCAAGCGGGCGGGAAGCTGTTGACTTGGCATGGCATGGGTGATCCGCTCATCACCCATCTCGGGACGACACTTTTCTGGGACAGACTTCAAGAGAGGCTGGGTGGCGTGGAATCTCTGAAGAGCTTCTATCGGCTGTTCTTGGCGCCGGGGGCGGGACATTGCGGTGGTGGGTACGGCCCCGTTCCCGTTGAGCCGCTCTCTGTTCTCGTCGACTGGGTCGAAACTGGCAAGGCCCCAGATACTTTGTTTGCTGTGACGACGCAGAGTGGTACCAACACGACTCGGAACCTCTGTCCTTACCCCCACTCTATCAAGTACAAAGGAAGCGGAGACGTGAAGGATGCCATGAGCTTCACATGCGAGTGAAAGGTGAGGACTCATGGTGAGCGAGGGGCGGCAAATCTCGACTATGGTTACAGTTCCCGCATGTCTGTGGTAGACTGTTCTTGTGTACTAAGTAATTCACATCGGCTAACGGGAACACTGAAATCTACTTATGTGCCTGAAGGATTTGAGAGTAGAAAGTCACCTGTTGGCCAGTTTTGTACTGTTGCCAGGCTCAGCATGTCCATGTCAGAATTCCTCCTACTTCGCGGAGAGCTTCCAGTCTCTAGTTCTTTGACCCTTCCACTTTGTCGTAGCCTGCTCTCTCCAGCATCTTTCCAAGTTAAAAGTCTTGGCACTTCTTGATATGCTGGGATGTCGGCATACATCTCCGGGAAGTGGTTGAAAAAGTCTGACGACATGGTCCAGGAGTTGATGTCACGGATCCTGTCCTCGAACTCTGGGGCCACACAGTATCGTCTTGTCTCGATGTTTCGCCGGTAGCAATCGCGGAACTCAAAAGGCCACATGATTCGGAAGCTGCTTGCGAATACCTCCCAGAACAGGTTCGAACAGTACTGATGTTGTGAAAACACAAAGCGCTCTCGAACACCTGGCCTATTTTAGGAAGCGGGGAAAAGGTAAGTAACTTTTTATCGATGGAAATTCAATCATTGACAGAAGCAGGACTTACCAGACGAAGAAGTCTATTGCAGAAGAGTGAGGTAGTGATTGAGATGGTCTTTAGATATTTGTCAGAGCATTTTTCACAAGAACAATCGGCCGAATCCATCTGCTTACCTGCTGAGATACCATGCTGGTAACTTGGCGCATTGTTCGACTGTGGGCTCGGCTTGGTATCGGAGGAGGCGGTGCATGAGTCTCAGGATAGCAAGCCGTTCGGTATCCGGGCAGTTTCTGAACTGGAGCGTATCGGTCTGACGGAGTCTTCTCCACAAGGGCGGTAGTTTCCCTGATCTTTCGACGGCATCCCATCCCTCCAAGATAACGCGGACCGGAATGTCGTCACTCATCTCGTCCTCCATAGCCAGAACACTCCTGGATAGCATTTCGCTGGCACCAAGAGCTTCGTTTGCGGATCTCCATAAACTTGTTGTCGATGAACCCGGGCTTTGAGGATCTTGTCTTGATCCTAAACACTCACAGGCACTATCTGGCTCCGGCACGATCACACCATCGCCTTGATGTCGAGGCGGAGGGGAGTCGGGTAGACATTCCAGATTAGGGTTCCCTGCCAGGGCGAGGCTAGGTGGAGCGGGAACTCTGTTGGCCACTTCCGTCTCTGTCGCAAGAGTATGACCGGTTACGTCAGATACTGGGAGTCCCCAACTTATGGCGGAGATGCCAGGGGTGAAGACGTCCAAGGGCATATCTTCGACCTCAATGTCAAAAGCGTTTGAACTCTCATGAGCGCCCGGCCACGGCTGACAGTTAGAAGCCGTAGCCTCAGGTTGTGATGCTCGGTCCTGCAAAGTATCGGCACGTTCGCCTTCTCGGTGGACTTGGATGGTTGTCTCAAGTGAGGAGAGTGTTTTCGACAGAGTGTCTCTTTGTCTCGTCATGTCAGACAGCTGGTTCATCAAGCTGGCGATCTTTGCGCTCTGCTCTTGCTCGCTCATAGCCTGGATAGTCGCTTCTAGGTAGGCAATGCGATTCTTGTTCCGTTCTCGGGCAGCTCGCTGTGCACGTCGGTCCAACTCCCTCTTCTTCGCGCGACGAGACGCGGCGTCGTCGGCCGCAGGAATGGGTGTCGCCGAGCTTATCTGTTGCGTTGCCATCGCCACTTGCTGCTACGGTGGCTGGTGGTGCTGTTCACGATGCGTCTGTTGCAATATTGCAATGGTTACAATGGGACGAAGGTGGTTGGACGACGCAGAAGCAGCCTTGGACTCAATTTGGGGGCCATCCGGATTGCGGGGAACCGGGCTTACGGGGCCACCCTGAATCCGGGGGAGCAACAGCAGAATGCGGGGGACCCCGGCAAGCATGTAGTCTTTGTTAGTCATCACACACATTGTGAGAGTTGTTTTGAGCACGAGAAGGGCTATCAATAAGCTAGTGTTGTGGAATTGGCCGATCTGTATCTACGAGATGGCCTTTCTCTTGGCGCAGGGCTTGAACCCAACATCAGTCGACACTAGTGTCAATGGTGTCAATCAAATGGGTTAGAGCATTTGAACAGGAAAGCAAAGGCTGGAAACACTCTGCAGATTTATGTTCCTTGGCTCAGACCAGGGCCAGGAACAACGGCGTCAACGGCAACACCATGATTCGCAAGAGACTTCCTGAGGGAAAAGTCGGAGGCCGGAGGGTTTTTCGTCGACACCAAAAAGCACCTTACGTTACGTGTCGGATTATGCCAGAGCATTTCTTACAGGGCATACCCCAAATGACCTTTCGTGGTTGATGGTGAGACTTTTGCCTCTTCAGCTCAAGGCGGAAGGTGTCCTAGGTATGCCCATGAGCCCAATCTCAAGGATGCTTGCGTGTAATTTGACTTCAGATGTTCGGACGTCTGTGAGCCTGTCAGTGTCACTGTAGAGGTGAAACCAAAATCCAAGCATGTGGTGTTCGCCCGCATTTATTTTAAGCTTCAGGGCCGCGAGTGATCGCGCAGATAAGAACTCTATTGTGATGCATCTACAATCTTATTTAGCAGTTGTTCGTTCCTCTTTATTCAGAGCTTCGTCATCCCCCCCAACATTAGAGCAATCCTTCACAGGGAAAGAGGCAACATCTTTGAGTGTTTAAGAAACAAAGGAATTCCTTCTAATAGGTGTTTTCATCGTTCTACTCGGGTAATATCCTGGATAACGAGAACGAGCCGCCTGTTGCCAGAGCGGATCCTCGTGGAGGCAACAGATGGAGAATTGGGGTTTCGCACCGGGTTTCATCAACACCGGCATCGCAGGCCCGATGGAGTGTTGGCTGTGGCAGGACTAGGGCGTTGCAAGTGTTGACACTGGCGACAGATGCACGGTCATCGCTGTATTGAGCCAGAAAACAAAGCCGCCCCTTTTGTCTATCCAGACTCTCTTAGTCTGAGGGTAATTCTGTCTGAAAAATTTGATGCTGTAATTCTTGCGAGTAAGAGTTTTCCGACAACGTCGTGTTTTCTCGTCCTCATAACGATGAACTGTTTTACGTATTGAGCGGCGAGTTGCACACACCTCCTGGCCATAACTCGAGGCTGACATATAGCACTGGAAAGCAATCGGCTTGATCCAAATTTGACTTGTGGAATCGGAAAATGACCGTGACGAGGGTCCGCAGCCAGCTACTCACATGTCCTCACATAGGACATCTGCCGAGGACTGGAACATGTAAGTCGCAGCATCGAACCTTTTTCTAACTTCTGGCCAGGAAAAATCCGGGAGCCATCTCTCAATTATCATCCAAGCTGGGCCACCGGCCCTAGATGTCTTCCTGGACTTACTGCTGTCTAATGCATTCAGAATACGATTGGCAGAGTTTTAAGTTTCGGGCGACTATGCTACAGTGCTGTAAATTGGGTACAACGCAGAAACATACTTTGAGACAATAGGATCGCCCAAAGTTGTTTTTCTTCCCTTAGCTCTCATCTTCTTGAACAGAAACGAGAGCTTTCAAGTCGAATCATAGTTTCCGAGGTACCAAAAAGATAGGGTATATATATCGAATCGATGACATCGAAGCACCAAAATATTATGTCAAACGGTGAATGTTTCTTGGTTATCCGCTGATGGCTATGTTCGATGCATGGTGAGTTTTTAATTCAACTAGTACTGAGTCTGAATTGTATGGTGACTTGAACTTCAACGTTGCCATGGAGATTCGTTAGTTGTCGCTGCTGTATACATATTTTGCTGCAGGCTACCAGATGTACAAGCGAGCCCGGCCGAAAAGTAGGAAGTTGTTGGACCCATGAGAGTGGAAACTAATCATGCGATAGATCCAGGGTCTAGTTGCAGTTCTATGGTTGAAACCTCTCATCTGTGCGACTTCTTGGCGCCTGATGTTGGGTGTCTCTTGGATGTTGGTCGTAATGATAAACGGCTCTTACTGCGCATCTGATGTCCCCATTACCACCCTACTGGTAATACTTGCAGTTGTAGCAATAATCGTGTTTGCGTAAGAAATCATGAAATCTTCAACGAATAGTGACTGCAGGGGTCGTGATTTTTTGTCATCAATCCCATCGTGGCTGTGGCAACTCTCGACAGCGTGCGTCTGAAGATCAGCAAGGATTATGGCTACGAGCAACTCGCGAACATGGACAAGGTCAATCTCCCTGCGCATCGTAAACATTCAACGGTGATCTGCCGCTTGGTCCAAGTGCCATCATTGCTACGGGGAAGCAATACTGTTGTTACCGCATTCTGCCTCAAATCACGGAGGGGCAATCAAGAATGACACATGGCTTTATAAGTACATTGAGCCACCTGAATGTAGGCAAGGTGTTTCACGGGCTTTTGGTAGGGGCCGATTACTCACTACTCCCTTGTCAACGTCACTCTACATCTACACTGAGTCGCTCAAAATTGAGGAAGAAGAATGAGGAGAACATGTCCGCAGATGTCAAGCATCAGGTTGGTCGAGGGTGCTACATGTGTGACGGCCGACGAGGGTAATGTCTAATTGCCTTGGCGTCAATTCACACCGGATCAGTGGAAGTCGCCGCCTGTCTATCGTTCATCATTCAAAAACCTTGAAGTGGGAATTGGAGACTGGAGGTTGCATGGAAACTCACACTGACAGACTGATCTTTCAGATGACCGAAGCGGATGAATCAGTCCATCTCTCCCACGAACCTGACTCCAGAGTACTCCGGCTGCGCAGAGTTCCTGTTCCAGGCATGTGGCCCCATGGCCCCCAAGTCTGAGACGATCTGTGACCTAGGAGGGCTTGATAGTGCGTTAAGATGAGTTCACTAAAACTATGCGCAAATTTGTTAGCGTAGTATAGACACCCGAAAGAAACAAACTGAAACGGGTTTGCCGACTTTTAAATAGTCGTCCGATAGCATTTGAGTTTTCCTCCCAGGTTCACTGCTGTGCAATGTCAACCCCTCTTGGCACACATCTGCGACTTGGTGTGACAGCACGCTCAGCCACTTGCGAGGACCACAATTTGCGCTCAGCGAAGAAGGCATTCCGGATAGAGATGGCCCCGTAACTGAAACGGTTCTTCCTCGAGCAATTCTCCTCCACCAGTCCGAATCTGTCACTAGTGCTGCTACTGCACGGTCAATGATGGCAATCCATCTTCTTCTCAGCAAGACGAGATCCCCGCTATCCTTGCGATGGTGTGGTTCTCGTGTCTTGCTTGCCCGCTGCGCACGGGATAACCCTGCCGACAACAGCGGCGGACACTTTCCTCCCCTACACCTAGTCAACATCTCTAGTGTGTCAACATCACGGGCAGTTGACAACCCCCCCGCACGACTGGTTTGAGAACATGGCACATTTCTACTAGACTGGAGAACTTCACTAAGACTAGTTAGTACCCGAGCGCAAATCCCCGCGGGCCGCCGCAACGTTGACATGAATAAGCTTGTCTGCGAGCCTTGTTCACCTTGTCCGTGTGCTTTCCCAAGGGTACTGCCTTGGCGATCGCCTCCGAGCTCCCGCTATGCAGGCCATACATGAGTCCGGATCGTCTCGACTCAGAGTCTAATTTTGGACCTGTAGGCTTATTGTTGCCTGTCACAGCGCCGTTTCTATCACCTGTCCTCAAGCGAGAGACTTTCGAGCGTGGCATCGAACTAGTCTGTGGCGAGCTGCCCTCTCCTCGCTCGCACATCTCAACCTTGCCCCCTGAGCCTAGATCTTACACTCGGTCCAACTGGGTCGGTCGATCTGGAACTCACGATTTTTTTGTTCAGCGCACTCCTCAAACAGGCCCCTGCACTTGACTTAGTAGTGTCTGGTTGTGTCTGGGTCGTATAACCATCACGGTGGCGGTTGTCCGGAGAAGAGCAGATTCAACCGACTAAGCCTAGTGGAGCATCACGCACCCACACCCCGTCGGCGAACGACTCTATATCTAAACCGAGACTTTCGTCTCTTCTCTGTCGGTCCGGATCTTCTGCTCCCCAACCTACTCGTTCGCCTCCTCCTCTTCTTTTCATCTCATTCTTTTTCTCCTTATAGTCTGCTGCGTGGACTTCCTTTCCTTTTCCTTTTCTGTTAGGCTTGACGCCCCAGAAGTTTCCACTTTACGACAATTATCTAGTCTCTATGTTTGTTTAGCAAACCACGTCTCGATGACTTTCACTCTCTCGTGGCGCCAAGCCGCCGTGGCAGCGTTGCTGTTCAACGCCGCCGTAACGGCCAACTACGATACCCGACGAAATAATGAAGCCTCGGAAGATACAAAGCGGGCTTTGAATGTTGCCTCCGTAAAGGCTCGAGGCCTGAATGTCAGAAACTTTGTACAGAAGTTGGACGTCGATAGTGTATTGTCTGCTCTTGGCAGTAATAATAAGGCACAGGGTTCGTCATGCACATCACATATTGGTATCAAATGCATAAACTGACTCTATCTAGGCGATGGGACTCCGGATGTAGCTCCTCTTGCTGCTGATGGGGCTGTTCCTGCTGTCCCTCAAGCCCAACCGGCAGCACCACCGGCACCGGCTGCGGGAGAGGCCCCTCCTCCTCCCCCGGCAAATGGAGCAGCACCTCCTCCTCCTCCTGTGAACGGTGCACCTCCGCCGCCTCCAGATCCAAACGCTGCTCCTCCTCCTCCTCCGCCTAACGGTGCTCCTCCACCACCGCCTGACCCAAACGCGGCTCCTCCGCCTCCGCCTCCCGCGAATGGCGCTCCTCCACCTCCTCCTCCGGCTAACGGTGCTCCCCCGCCACCACCACCTAACGGAGCACCGCCGCCGCCGCCTCCCGATCCAAATGCTGCTCCTCCAGACCCGAACGCGCCTCCTCCACCACCTCCTGATGAAGCGCCGCCGCCGCCTGATCCAAACGCAGAGCCACCACCACCTCCTCCAGAGGGAGGACCGGCTCCTGACCCGAATGCCCCTCCCCCACCACCCCCTGATGGAGGTCCAGCTCCCGATCCCAATGCTCCTCCACCACCACCTCCAGACGGCGAGGCACCTCCCCCTCCTCCTGATGATGGGCCTCCACCACCACCCCCCGATGGCGGACCGGCTCCCGACCCCAACACTCCTCCACCGCCGCCTGATGCCGAGGGGGCACCACCACCACCACCGGAGGCTGCTCCCGCTGTAACTGGTGAGCCTCTTGCGCCATTGGCCGTAGGGGCTCCTCCTCAACCTGCTGCAGCTCAACCTCCTCCTCCTCCCGCTCTCGCAGGAAATGGAACTGACCCTGCCGGCAAGAAAGGAAAGAAGGGCAAGGGTAAGGATGACGCCGGCAAGAAAGCAAGGGACGACGCAAAGAAGGCAAGAGACGAAGCCAAGAAGAAGGCTGAGGGACAACTAGCAGGTGCTGCTGGCCCCGGCCAGGCCGCCGCCAACGGAACAGCACCTGCGCCTCCGGGCAAGAAGGGAAAGAAAGGCAAGGACGCCAAGGGCAAAGACGCAAAGAAGCTGAAGGATGGAAAGGGCAAGGGGGCGATTCCCGGCGCCGCAGGTAACGGCACCGAAGCCGTTGGACCAGATGGAAAAGCCAAGAAGGCCAAGAAGGACAAGAAGGCTAAGGGCAAAGCCGCACTTCTTCCAGGAGCGGCCGTGAACGGCACGGCGCCAGCAGGTCCAGATGGCAAAGCCAAGGGCAAAGGCAAAGACGATGACCCCGAGGCGAAGAAGAAGGCCAAGGACAACGGCCCTGAGGGCGCCGCTGGGCCTGCTGAGGAAGCTGCAGGTGGACCTGAAGGCAAAGGCAAAGGAAAAGGTGACGACCCCGAGGCTAAGAAGGCAAAGGAAGCGGCTGCTGGGGGAGAGGGAGCAGCAGCCGCAGGGAAATCGGCGGGAGCGGCATTTGAAAGACGTCGACGAGCGAGCTTCGTGAAGCGGCGAAACCTCATGTCCAATTTCGGCTGGTGATCTCAGATCAAATTCTTGTGCTGCTGGCCCATCGTACTCTCACTCACTTATGGGTATTAATGGGCGACATTCTGCATACGATGTTTTCATTATACTATCTCACTCGTTTCTATACATGCAAAAACTCCAATCTCTGTCTGGGACAGAATATTCACAAATTAATTTTTGTGCGGAAGGCGAGGACCAATTCTGTGGTATAATACTGTGGGAACTCGTCTCGCGATAGTTGAGATTAAATTCAAGAAGAAATAAAAAAACGATTAAATAACACTAACAAGGACTCGGCCGGTGCAAATATGCGCATTTCCGACGGGAGATATATGTCTACTTGTGATTTGACGGGTGACGTTTTAGACTTTTCCGTCTGATCAGGAACGCATGAAACCGTACTATTTCAGGAACAACAGGAACAACCCCGCAAGGGCAGCACACGCCCCGTTCTTGGGCTGAAGGTTGTCTTCTTCGCATATGACTCGACATGTTCTGTATTCGGCAATTCACACAACCATTCCCCCTTACTGTCGCGAACGATCGAGTGTCAACGGCCGTCAGTGTATCGCATCGTACATGAACGACAGCTCCCCAAGGTAGTCATCGCCGACAACTTTCCGTTCAACCAAGGGTTCGGCAAGAGTATACCACACAATGCTACATGATCAAGACGTGCGTTCTTAGAATCTACACTAGATATGCAACTACCGATCCGACTGCATCATTTACTCTTCAATACATTACAGTGCTAAAACGTACCGGCTATACCCCTCCAGAAGTAAGATTCTCAAGCTTGCTTCAAGATCGCCAGGAGAGTCTCGAGAACTCGGCGGCACATTTGGCCATGCCGGTCATAGTGTGTGTGTGTGTGTGTGTGGTTGGAATGGATGTCACACTCGCCCCAGCTATCTCAGTCCAATTAATGAAGTGGTGGGCTGCCCATTGGGCTGGGACTGCCGATACTAGAAAGTTTACTCCGTGAAATCCAAATCTTTTGTTCGTGTGCCTTTTCCTGCAGAACAGTTTCATAAGAAGCTAGGATGCGCCAACAAAACATCCGGGACCGAGAAGGGGCGACAATGTGCTTCTGGCGTTTGGCACTCAGCGAGGTTTTAACACCTACCTCAGGTACATAAGATTGTGAGGAGCAGTATTATTAACAAGCAACAGCCTCTATGGCAGTGCAGTCATTCATCTCCCACATTATGGACCCTTTTGTACAATACGACACCGAAGCTCTAGTTCCTCTGTGTTGTTATTGGCATGGTCCAATGGCTAAAAAGTCGACATCAAAAGTTAAGTGCGCATATCTTGAGTTCGAGCAAAATGAGAGACTATCGCTGCGTTCGATGGCCTTGCAGGCTCACAAAACGTTCAGCGCTAGGTTTCAATCCATCGATTAGAGAAAGGAGAGCCCTCATATCAGAGACTTCCAATCATGATTTAGTATTTGTCGTTGTTGGTCAAAGAATCTACAGCTCTCACAATCATTCTATCCACTTGAAGTGAATGGATTCAACACGTTTTTAATTAGTTTCGGAATGTCCACAGTTCGTGGTTTTGGTCAATAAGATAGAAGGAACGATTTGGGCCAACATGGACGAAGTCAAGATTTGTGAATCGGGCAGCCCATTGCGTTTGCATATTTAAGCGAGAGAACTTACTGATCGTTATAGAGAAGGAAATGTTTCGTCATGACTCAAGCCCGAATTAAGGTACGATGATTTGAGGATAGAAGGTTTTCTTGCTCGCCGCTTCAGAAATATGTTTGCCCAAGGCTTCCGACCTGGAACTCGTCATTATACTTGGATCGCCTTCAAAACCAAAGAAACCATCGAATTCAGGTTCTTTCTACTTACAGTCCTCGGCCACCCTGCTGTTGATAGTGTTGAGAAGCCAGACGCTAATGAGAGCACCTAGTTGCCTTGCGTATCGAATTGGGGCGAGTCCGGAATAGCTGGACGGAAGCGCGCCCGAAATTCCGGCCCGCCCCGCCGTTTTGTGGAGAGACCGGCCGGCAGATGACGGTTTTCCTACAACGTAGAGTGACATAATCTAAAATTGACTCTCCGGAGTTTAGCCATTGTCCTCTTCCGGAACAACAACCAACCCAACTGCATAGGCGGGGCCGTTGATTAACCGTCCCTCGCCTTGGAGCCCGGTCTCCATAAAGGCTCTCTCGCCTCATCCTATGGCCTACCTTGTTCCATCTGAGGAGTCTTGGAATATCCGTCTCGACTTAACTATTTGAAGCTTCATGATGGCCACAGTCACTCAACAGCAGCACACGTCGTCAGACTCTTACGAACTTGCCGAAGCACCGAAGCAACCCCGCAGCGGACACATTTTAGGATCCGTTGACCCTACAGACACTGATCAGAGCGATAAAATTGACAATGCCACACTCTTAAAGCTAATAGCCTCAGGCTTCGCCTTCTTCATCTCTGGAGTCAATGATGGTAGTGTCGGTCCTCTCCTTCCCTACATGATCCGCGACTATAGCATCACCACAGCAGTCGTTTCTATTATGTGCGTAGCGAAAGCCATAATCTCAAAATTTAGCTTCAAAACTAATCCCTGATTCAAGCTACGGAGCAAATTTTCTCGGCTGGTTCCTCGCTGCCCTTACCAACACTCATCTCCGACAAAAGTTTGACCTCGGCGGACTGCTCGCTTTCGGCGCCTTCTTCCAAGTCTTGGCCCATGCGCTCCGGGCATGGCGACCTCCGTTCCCATTCTTTGCCGTCACGTTTTGGCTCGTATGCCTCGGACAGGCATACCAAGATGCAGGTGCAAATGCATATGTAGCCAGCGCCAAGGCCGCACATCGATGGCTGGCCTTTATCCATGCATTGTACATGGCAGGATGTCTAGTTGCCCCATTTGTCGCGACTCCAATTGCATCGGCTGGGGAGACCTCTCGATGGTATCTCTTCTACATTTTCCCGCTCGCCATTGGTGTTCTCAACTTTGCCTTGACCTGCTACGCCTTCCGAGACACTATCAAATTTGGACGTAAAAAGAACAGGGCGACTGAGCCAGAAGCAGGGACTGACGAAGAGGAGAAGAAGAGCGCATCCCAACTAATGAAGACTGCTTTACGATCCAAATCTCTTTGGATGGTCAGTATCTTCTTTTTCTTCCTACTTGGGGCGACTATTACAGCAAGTGGATGGATTGTCGAATATCTTGTTGAGATTCGTGGTGGTAATCTCGGCGCTATGGGTTATGTCCCGGCGGGCTTTAATGGAGGAGCCATGCTTGGTCGCCTTCTTTTGGCTGAACCTACCTATCGTCTAGGTGAAAGGAGAATGATCTTGCTTTATGTGGTGCTCTGCATCGCCTTTCAGTTGGTGTTCTGGTTGTGAGTATGAAAGCCGTCAAGCTCGTGATTACTGGAGTCTAATGCGTCTGAAACAGGGTGCCAAACATCATCGCTGCTTCAGTGGCCATCAGTTTCTTTGGATTCTTCTCTGGTCCTCTGTTCGCCACGGTAAGTTGTGCAACTACTGATGCAGGACCCAGATGTCTGACGATCCCTAGGGTATATCTGTTGGATCCAAACTCTTCTCACCAGAGGTGCAACCAACAGCCCTCTCATTCGTGTTTGTGATCGGGCAGATTGGTGGATCTTTGTTTCCCGTCATTACGGGAGTAATCGCATCTCGCATAGGCGTCAGTGTGCTGCAGCCTATTCTGATAGCCCTGATTGCAGGTACAGGTATCAGTTGGATGCTGATACCGAAGCCTAAAGAATCGTCAAACACCGCCTTGCATCAGGAGTAGGGATTGAGACAGCCAGTACACATGTGAACATCAAGAGGCTCGAAGAGGTATCCAATCGAAGCTCTTGCTCAAAGATGAGACAGCAATTCATGAAGCAATAAAAAAATTTGATTCACGGATAAGGATTGCGCATCAAGGAAAGACATTTAGGTGTTGATTGGCGTGACAAGACGCGGTGAACCAATATCACCAAGATGCCACGAGGGGATGCAGTTTTGTGGGTTTCAAAATGGTGCAATCCCCCCTTGTACCCCCTGCCTTGAGTCCAAAGCTCTTTGAACGTTTCTTAGAGGCATCAGTAGAACAACTGAGCCAAGGATACCAGAGTCTCATTGTGACAGTCGAGAATCCTTCGCGTGTCTTTGCACTCGATGTGGAGACATATTAAGCACGCCATGATAACTCAGATCGCGACACACTGAGCCACCGCTATCGGGGAAACAGTACCAGGATGTGGAAGATATTTCAACTTTACCTTCATGACTTTGAAAGTGCGTAGTCTTCAGATTATGTTCCGAGTCTGGGCTGTCGTTCAATCTGGCGATCTCAGAGGAGCTTTCTGAAGCCAGCTTTTACCTATCTCGCGATTGCTATCTACAGTCTGTTGACAGAACATTTTTCGCCTGCGACCCAAGACAGTCCGTGCAACATGGCGTCCCTAAAGTCTCAACCAATTGAGGCACACTCGGCAATTGGCGAGGATGCAGTACCGGAGTTTGAAGCTTCTGGCATCGGCAAACGGACATGGTACCGAACTGTCTTTTTTCAGGCCACTGTTATTGGCCTTTGCGCATTCTTCGCCCCCGGCCTTTACAATGCCATGCAATCGACGGGTGCAGGTGGTCAACAGACTCCATACCTCGTTATGTAAGTCTCTGTCCAAACTTTGAAGTATTCCCATTCGCCGAACCCCTTCAACTGATTGACCTTAAAGGTCCGCGAATGCCGTTTTAGGAGTTATGATGGTTGTAACATGTTCCATGGGAAGTGTGGTCGCCAACAGGATTGGCCTCAAAAATGCCTTGATCTTTGGCACGACGGGATAGTAAGTCACCTCCAGCCTTCAGTTTGAGATGAATGGAATTTTCCAAGTACGGGGGTTAATCCAATGCAGTGCTCTGTACTCAGCGTCGCTGTACACAAACAACCGTTACGGCAATGAGTGGTTCGTCTATGTTGGTTCTGCTGCTTGTGGTATCACTGCTGGTGTTTTCTGGGCTGCAGAAGGCGCGATCATGATCAGTTGTAAGTCGTCTTAGCCTTGGCCGGCCTACTAAAATCCATCTAACTTCGAAGCGTAGATCCAGAAGACCAGAAGCGCGGCAGGTATCTGGCCTACTGGCTGGCGTATAGAAATGTCAGTGGTCGTGGGACGGGGCTTCTACATCTGTACCAACAGTGCTGACGAGCTTCAGGGCGGATCAATCGTTGGAGGTGCTATCAACCTTGCGTTCAGTAAGTGAAGCAGAGTTGCACTTTACAGAGAAAAAGTGTTGACTTTCTTCAGATGCAACTGGCAAGACAACGGGAAAGCTAGATTACAGGACCTACATCGTCTTCGTAGCTTTGCGTAAGTTCTTGGCTTTTTTGCAGTCTTACTACCATTCTCTAACCATTTGCAGAATGTCTGGGGCCTTTTGTAGCAATGCTTCTGTCTCCTCCCGACAAGGTCCAACGCCAAGATGGAAGAAAAGTAGCAAAGGCTGAGCGGATTCCCACGGTACTAGAACTAAAGGCTGTTGCCAAAATTCTCATTCGCAAAGACTTCTTGCTAGTGTAAGTGGCCGGGCCGTGAGAGAAGGCCTCGATCAGGGATGCGATGCTGACAAGATATAAAGTTTCCCCTTCTTCTTCTACGCTACATTTCTACTATCATATGCGGGATCTTACTTGTCACTTTACTTCTCCGTTCGCTCCCGTGCTTTGGCATCCCTAGTCTCTGCACTGGCTCAGATTACTGCAAACTTCATATTCGGCAACTTTCTGGACTGGAAGCGATTCACTATCAATCAGCGGGCCCGATTCGCTTACTTCGGAATCATGGCACTATTTGGGGGGACCTGGGTGTGGGCAATTGTCATTCAGCGAGAATATGGGTTGAAAGCTCCTGCTTTGGATTGGGTCGACAGCGGTTTCGGCCGTGGATGGGCGCTTTACATCCTCTTGCAGGTTAACTTGTGAGTCCCACCCAACATCTTTTACCCTTTTTGATCACATGTGTTGACTGGTGGCAGCGCATTGGCATACAACTATGGTTACTGGCTTGCTGGCTACATGGCGCGTGATAACGCTGAGATCATCCGATTTACATCAACGGTTCGAGCCGTTGAAGCGGCTGGAGGCGCGGTGGCGTCAGGTATTAGCTCTACGCATGCTCCTGTAAGTGCTCCTCATCCACTGAAGAAGTCATGAGACGTGAGGGGCTGTTTCTTTATATGATTCGTCGATAACAAGCTAATACCATTCGAAGCTCATTGCCGCCGCCAGCGTCAATTTCGGTCTATGGGGCTTAGCACTTATCCCAACCTATTTTGCCGTTCGATCAATCGACGCGAAGCCGCTGGAGGATATTCCGGAGGAAGACTCGAGCAAGAGCGTTTCTCTTTGAACTCGGAGATTTGAGGCATGATCATGTTAAGGGGCGGCAATAGCCCTTGTAGAGTATTGTTATGATGCTCATAGAAAAGCTGTCAACTTGAACTTGAGTACAAGTTCAAAGTCCCAAACGTTTTTCCAAATAATATAGAAGTACAGTTCTCGCTGTTAGGCAGCCAAAAGCACCTTTCTCGCTTCGACTACGAATTTTGTGATGTCATTTGCGATTGAGAGGCGTTTCGCTACCCAGCTGACAAAGTCTCCCATGGCCAGACGCGCCGACTTCGCAGGAGTTCTCGGGTGTAATGCAGCCATGATGAGTCCCGCCAGGTTGAAGTGGATGCTGTGATAGCACCTCATCACTCGCAAGTCTTCCGTGATTCCCATGGTAGATACACTAATCATTTGGATGGTTTATGCTTGGTAAAAACAACTCAATGCATAAAAACAATATATACAGGACTCTTCCATTGCGTGAAGAGTCACATACCTCCTTTCCTTGGAAGAAAGTAAGATTTTCGCACCATCCATATTTCCAATATCAAATTGGAGATGACGAGACCATATTGGTACAGACAATTCACTGAGCATGGCTTTGCGGTCATTCCATCGGTAATCCCTTACAATAAAGCTATCGAGTATCAGCAAAAGGCTTTCGCGTGGCTCAAGTCCTTCGACAACGCCGCGTTGGATCTAGCAGACCCCACGACTTGGACCCCCGACAATCTGCCATTCATTTCCGGAATCAACACAGTGAACCATTACGGAGTTGTGCACGAGAAATTCATGTGGGACATACGCCTGGAACCAGGCGTGATCGACGTCTTCGCAAACGTATGGAATACCCGCGACCTTATCGTCTCCTTTGATGCCCTGAACATCACACTGCCAAGACGCCAAGGTCATATTCCCAGAAAAAAGTGGCCTCATGTCGACCAGAGCCCATACAGACAAGGCCTAGAGTGCGTTCAGGGCATAGTGAACCTCTCAAAGGCTGGCATCGAGGACGGCGGATTGACGGTATACCCGGGAACGCACAAGATCACCGAGTCGTTTTTCAGAGAGCATACCGACAAGTCGGAGTGGACGCGAAAAGACTTTTTCAACTACACGACTGAGCAGATTGCATGGTTCGAGAAGGAAGGCTATCGGGAGCAGAAGGTTATCGCGGAACCAGGTGATTTGATCATCTGGGATTCGCGACTGATCCACTTCGGGGCCGAGCCAACATCAAAGAGCAATACCATACGGACCATCACATATGTGTCGTATGCTCCTGCATCTTTTGCGACGAAGGCAGCCCTCGAAGCCAAGAAGAAAGCCTTCGACGAGTGGCTGGCTACGACGCATTGGCCTCATGACAACATTGTTCCGAGGACAAATCAGCCAACCCTGCCGGATGGGACTGTTGACAATAGAAGAATGGAGCCGTTGGAGAAACCTGAGCTTACTCCAGAGTTGCTGAGGCTGGCGGGGGTTGAGGCATATTAAACATGCAACCCCGCAACAGTACAAGCTGGGGTAGGCGGAGATGGCGACCACTCTGCCTGGGGACTTGAGGCTTGTAGCTCGTCTACTGGATCTAAGATCTTCTGACGATGGTACAAGTGATTCGTTCGTCCATCATGTAAGAAAGGCTTGATTAGGAAATTGTATTCTCAGCTGCGGTCGGATGATCTCTGTTGGTGACCGTGTCGGCGCGTAAGTGCTGACCCGTGCGCTAGCCCACGCTCAGCTTTACAAGCGTGTCCACCATGTTTGAAGCTGAAAATGTTAATTCGTACCGGGAACTGAGAGGGATATCCGGTTCATATCGGCCTGCCCATGCCGGACCAAGGTAAAGGCTCGTTATCTGTCAGATAGGGAGGTCAACACCACGCCGGCCCGGGTTCTTTGCGCTGCTGATAGACAGCCGGTATCGCGGATAGTTCCCGGTCTCGGGACGACTGCGGAGTACCGGGGGGCCCACGTCTGACAAAGGATTGATTTACTAAGTAATACCCAGTCATTTTCCCATTTTCAGCCTATCAGAGCCCGCAGATTCCTTATCGGAAACCCTCTACCGTGGATACTCTTTGTTAAATTCCAAGCAGTAGACTGTCGAAGCACTTTGCCGCGGACCAGGCTTGAGAATAACCTCAGCACAACAGTTTCCAACTCTTGGCGTTGAACGACCGCGACAAAGACCAGATCATCAAGATGGGAGATCTTGGAAACCGTCAAAGCCCCTTGGCAGGAGACAAGCTCTTGGTATTTCTCTCAGCGCCGGAAGACACGAAATGGACAAGCAGGATCTCTCAGCGCTTCCCCGGCCTGAAAGTCTGCTGGGAGTCCAATTTGAGGCCTGGTGGCGGCTTTCTTCTGCCAGATGAGCTGTCGGATGAGGTGTGGGAAGATGTGACGATTTTCATGGCCTTCAACCCGCCGTCTGCTCATCGCTTGTCTAAGGTTCGCTTCGTGCAGTTGACCTCTGCAGGCGCCGATAGATGGCTCGACCACGATGTCTACAAGGACCCTAAGGTTTCATTTTGCACTACAAATGGCTGCCATCCGTGAGTTCTTACTGTGCTACTACTGGTCTCATGCAATAACCTGATGACTGACGTGATCTGCAGGCCCCAGATCGCGGAATGGGTCATTGGTTCATGGCTCGCGCACCAGCACCATTTCCAGCGCTATCATAATCACATGAAGGAAGGATTCTGGGAAGGCCCGATGGAAGTAGACTTTGAAGACTCAGTCGGACTTCGCATGTAAGTCATCGCCCGCGCTGTTCGTCGTGAGGGAAAGAAGGAGCTGCTGACTCGATCGACTTCAGGGGTGTTCTGGGTTATGGTGCCATAGGGCGCCAGTGTGGTAAGGTTGCGCAAGCAATGGGAATGGAGGTGTATGCGTATACGAGAAGCGAGCGCGCAACACTCGAGTCTCGCAAAGACGACAGCTACTGCGTTCCCGGCACTGGAGACCCCGATGGACTGGTCCCTGCTAAGTGGTTCCACGGCGCTTCCAAAGAAGCCATTAACAACTTCTTGAGCCAAGACCTCGATCTATTGGTACTCGGTCTGCCTTTAACAGAGGAGACGAAAGGACTGATTGGCAAAGAGCAATTTGAGATCTTGTCAAAGCGGAGGACTTTTGTTTCAAATGTTGCAAGAGGTCCCTTGATTCAGACCGACTCCCTTATCGAAGCTCTCGAGGGTGGTAAGATCCGGGCGGCTGCTTTGGACGTCACAGATCCGGAGCCGCTTCCGAAAGATCACCCACTGTGGAAGGCGCCCAATGTCTTCATTACACCTCACGTCAGTTGGAGAACAGATGGATACTGGGAGCGAGTTCTAGGAGTTCTGGAGGCAAACTTGGAGCGTATAGATGCTGGCAAGCCTCTCATTAATGTGGTCAACAAGAAGTTGCACTATTGAGTACTCGTGGCTGCGTGAATTTGACAGCATTCTTTGTAGTGAGAGGCGAAAGAAAGATCAATTCATACCCCGAGAGTCTTAAAACCTACATGTAGTAGTCGCTCACTATATGATCCAAATTCCCCACTATCGATTGCTATCCTCCGAGTTCAAATACAACAGCGCCATTAGTCTCTGTCTCTAATGATTGCACTATTACTTCCAGTATTCTACGAACCCATTCACTAAGCTAAATGTCTCTCGTTTCCTGAAAAGCACCACTACGCCTAATATCTCTCCCTGCGGCGACAGGAGGGACTAGATATATAAGACTGGCTGGCCGACACTGCGTACATAATGAAGACTGAATGGAGAGGAAACACATTCCTGAAGGCATGGCCATCAGGCTGCGAGTAAAGCAAGTTTCTCTTTCTCATAGTCGAAACCGAGAGAGTATTGTTTATGTCGTGATCTGGATTCGACGTAGTTAATTGGGCATGATGTTGCAGCCCAGTTAAGGTTCAGGCAACCATCTTACTCACGAAAGGCGAAATGTAAGCATTCCATGGCCAATGAAAGGTGCAGCCTGCAGGGCCCGTCGACGGTGAGTGGATCGATTGGATATGCTCTTCACAGTAAGGGTAGGACTTCACGAGTGTGCTCTGCTTAACGCTCACGAATCGGAGTCCTTGTTAGAGTTGGTTTCCGCCCAGCTTTACAAGCCCAGAAGATCGACCTCGACATGACCAGGCTCTCAAAAGGAAAACACACAGTACAGTATACTTTCTGACTACGCGGTATATGTAGTATACCCTAAGCACGCGCTCAACTTAGTTCAGTAATTCCAATACGAAAGACCGCCACGCGAAGCGTGCGGAGTCCTAATACATCTCTGCGAATTCACCCGGTATCTCATGAAGGAGAGAGATGCTCGGACCGCTCAATGCACCTGGGAATGAATCGTCAGGCGTTATGGATTGGGCATTGCTTTCAACCGTGAGACCAGTATTCATCGACATGCCCAATAGCTCGAGGCAGCTAAGTAGGTATACTCGAGGCTTTGGGCATGAACTGTTTTTTGAAGTGCTTTTATCTGGCCGAATAATCGATTCTGTCAGTAAGTCAATTATCTGAATTTCTCGTTTCATTTTCTGGTTAGATCACTGCCCACACATCTCCAAATCCTCTGCTCCGCAACCCGGGTAAGCCGCATGGAACCCATCACGTCACATCCGTTCTTCGTCCGATCAACACCACTTGACGCCTCCGGTTTCGTTTGATCTTCAGCCAAGTTCATGACGGAGCTTCCCCAACCACCATCCCGACCCTGGGCGACCTTCTTGATCGATAAAAGGACGAGGTCGTTCCTCCTCGTAAAGTCAGAATGAAGACACAATTCTGTGAGTCACCTTGGACGCGTCGAACCACCTCGATTCAGTCAACCTAAACCTGGGAGGTTCAGTCACTTCGAGTAGCCCACTACACCTTTTGAAATCCCCCAAACCCCATCAAGATGGCCACCACACCCCCGAAAGACCTCGAATCCCTCCCCACAATCTACTGCCACGCCTGGGCCGCTCGCGACCCATCCCCCCTTCTAGCTCTTTTCACAACAGACTCCTGCATGACAGACCACGGCGCCCAAATCCACGTCCCCTACGCCTTCCTCAAACGCCACCACAAACACTGGAACGGCGCGCACAAGGACTTTGAAGTCTACCTCGATAAGCAGTACCCCGTCTACTGGGCCGAGATGGATGCCGACGGCAACGGGTACTGCAGCTTCCGGACCGTCAACAAGGGGATTTTCGTTAACGACCTGGGACGACGAAAGGCGACGGGGTTGCCATTTGAGTATTCGGGTGTTATTGATCTCAAGTTGAGGGCGGGCAAGATTGCGCAGGCAGATGAGTGGTTGAGGGTTCCTTTCGAAGATAGTGTCTCGCCTGATAAGTATATCAAGATCTCGGAGGAGAGTTTGAAGGACGTGATGAGGAAAGACCTTCATGAAGATGCTTGAGGATGAAAAATATTTTAGAGTACACCAAGGCCCTGACAAGGAGCGGTCTTGGTATGCTTAAATTCATCATAATGAAGATTAGGGCATATTGAAGTGAAAGTCAAAGGTGAAATCCATGTTAATAATCAATGTTTCTTAAATGGCTTTTTATACAACTTGTAGACTAAAACCAATGAATAGTAGGTAGATTGACGGTCCTTAGTATGGATCGACCAGATGAAGAAAAAGTCGCTTTTATATCATAGAGCAAGGCTATGTGGGGTATTATCATCGTCAACTACTCTTCAAACAACGTTTCCGCGCACTTGCTTAATCTTCTTGACGTTCAGGTTGCGCCACATGGCGACGGAGCCAAGAGCACCGACCAGGAGGCAGATACTAGTGATGAGCATGATGCGCTGTGAGTCACCGTAGGCACGCTGAATGCCAATGCGCTCGGGACTGCCGACCTCGTAGCTAAGCTGCTGGTAGATATCGCCATAAATGGTGTCGACGGGGGTGCCTGCAGGAGTGTACTTTGCAATATTCTTTCTGAAAGTACCGGTCCAGATGGCAGTGGCGACGGTGTAACCAACGGTGGAGCCGATGCTACCGAAGAGGTCCAGGATGGCCATGATGACGGCGACGTGGGCATGGTCGGAGGGACTGAGCATGGCCATCTCTCCGCAGATGACAGTGGGTCCACCAGCAAACGCGACTGTATTGAATGTTAGTAACGAGAACGTTGAAGAGCTTCAGAGTTGCGCGACGTACCGAAAATTTGAGTCATGATAATGTAGCCGAGAGGTTGGTCAGGCTGACGGAAATGAATCATGAGGCCAACGCCGAGCATCATCAAAGGAATGCAGAAGAAAAGAGCGAAAGGCTTGAAGCGTCCGGTGCGGTAGATGAGCCAGGAGATGATAATGGAGAAGAAGCAGGAGCCCGTTCGGTAAATGTTGCTGATGTAGGTGGTCTGAGAGGTGGATGTATTCCAGACAACCATGAGCATGGAAGTAAAGAAGGATCCCCAGACAGCAGAGTTGAAGAACACAAAGACGAACATCATGCCACCGAAGAAGACGGTTCTGTCCATCAGAAGAGAGAAGGGAATGAAGGTGACGGGGGCGAAGAACTTCTCGTAAACAACGAAGCCGATGATCAAGAAGAAACCGACGACAATGAAGGCAATGATCATGGGAGAGCGCCAACCTTCCGTCTGGTAGGAGTAGATGTTGAATGGCAGCAGGAACAGTGCCATGCCGGCAGCGAGAATGAGGATGCCAAGGGCATCGACATCAATGAGGAACTTGAGAATCTTGGCGCCAGAGATGTTCTTGATGGAACCGCGGCTGTCGATGACGCCCATCTTCTTCGCTTTATGCTGGTTCCAGAGGAAAAGGAGAACAAGAGGTCCGATAACGACGGGAGCAACGATAGCCCACATACCAAGACCCCAACGCCAGCCAATGCCATCCTCTCTGAGGATACTGTCGGTGATGGGGCCAGCTGCCCAGGTAATGAAGATGTATGGCGTCGTTGCGAACGAGAGCATCAGAGCTCTGCTCTTCAGAGTAGAGGTATCGGCGATGAAAATAGTAATGCAGTAGGAGATACCTTGGGATCTTTAGGGTGTTAGTACTGGTCAAGGGTGGTCATCTTGGAAGCTCATTACTTGCCCAACTGAGTAGAAGACCTGCGCAGCAGCATAAGTCTCGACGCCATTGCAAGCAGCCATCATAATGAAGCCGAGAATCCAGCAGATGAGCATGATACCGAGACCTTGAGGACGGCCCCATGTGTCGAGAATCTTGGCAAGCGGTAACTTAATCAGGCCGGCAATGAGGGTTGACATGACACCAGTCGTGGCTGTCAACGAGTGCATGGCGAAAGAGCTAGTGACGAAGGGGGACAAGACGCGCATCGAGACCTCCTGGATAGAGGTAACGACATAGAACAACCAGATCCTTTGAAGACAGTCAGTCATCGTCCAGATAGCTACCAATCCCTGTCTGGGCATCGTATGTGTAACTCACAGGATGTAAGCAATGATAAGATCGCGCTTTGTCCACACGGTTGTCATGGCCTCGACCTTGGCGACACCGGCCTGGAGGTCCTTTGAGATTGGCTCGTCATCGCTTGATCTATCACCGGGGTGCTCGCCCGTCGTCTTCTCGTCGTAATGGGGAGATCCGGTAGGTTCGGCAGCAACCTGCTCCTCGACAGGAGCTTTCTTGGAGAACAAGCCCATGATTGTGTCGTTCGAACGTCTGGCTATGCTGGGCGGATGATGTTGGCAGCGGCCAGGCTCAGATGCGTTGAGAGCAACAGAAAAGGGTGTCTTCTGTTGTCGTCCGAGAGAGTTTGATGCCGGGACGCAAGACCACTGGTAGGCAGGGCAGATGCTGGGTCTAAGTATTACACGCCGAAAGCTGCGCGACCTGGCTGGACAGTCGTGTAACCGCCATCGGCTCGGCGAGGGCAAGGCAAAGAATGGTTGACGGGTGGCACCACTAGTGTAAGGTCAGAGCTAGCTCTCCACCCCCATGCAGCATTAGCACCACTTTGTTCGTGTAGCTGTGTGTCCACCTAGAGCAAAAGAACCTTTAACCCCGAGTGGAATTTTGGGCTGTGGAGAGATCCATCGGACGTAAGAGCCAGCGGTGGCCGAGAGTGACTTTGCCCGCGTGGGACAGACTGTTGAAAAGGCCCAAGGCAGGAGAGCGCTGACCAGCGTTCCACTCGAATAGCCCGGGATGATTCAGTGGCAGCGTGCACGGAAAATCGTGGACACAGAATTACGAAATGGCGTCCAGTTTACCGAGCTGACTTGGCCCGGAACGTTGGGCGACTCGGACCATGTGGGGATCCAGGGAAGCCATCCCCCTGGAAGGCGTCCGGAAAGGAAGGGTTCTAGGTCGTATTCCTTGCTTGGGACCTTGGGTTCCAACGGGCAGAACAGACGGATGCACAGGGCACGCAGGCGGTAGGCGTGTGAATCGGAGGTAGGGTGGCAGTCAAGTGAGCCGATGCGCCGAATGAAGTTCTAGCTGCAGCTCGGTTACCAGAGTCGGTTCACTGGCACGACTGGTTGTCGCATCTTAGCGCTGGCGGAGGGCCTCACATGTCAGATTGCCCGGAAACCAGTTCGCGTGGCCGTAGGCATTTGTCCTGGGGCGCACATCGGGATGAGGTATATAGAAGCTGTGCTAGCGGATCTTGGAGGGAGAGATCGTCGCGCGATGAGCCTTTCATGGTGTCCTACGCGTGGCGAGACCCGAGGAGCAAAGTGATGGAGGGTTGTAGTGGTAGGATCATTAATCGCGAGATGCTTGCGCTTGTTGCCTTGCATGAATCGTTGGGTCGTCTACTGCCCTGTCTTTCTGTATGGCTTTCTCTACAAACAAACGTTGGTAAGGTAGATCGAATCGGGATGATTAGGGAGGATGCTCTACCTTGGACCCGAGAGACACTGAAGGCCGTCGGGGAGATACAGAAGTCCTTTTTGCCTTCCAGATTGCGGGGCTCGGTGGTGGTCCTCTCTGCCGGACAATTCGTCGCGATTCGGCAAGATAATTAAGGATGAAGAAGAGCTTGACTTCAAGCATGACCAGGACCGAGGTGTAGCGTAGAGAGAGGAAACAGCCAGTCATCGCCACCGTAGGACAGTCGGAAGAGGGAAAGAGGGGACGGATGGGATTAGATACATCTGAGATGTCACTCCTTCCAGTTTAGCGACTCGGAAGGTGCCATTGCCAAAGGTACCTGCCACGCACGGCTGGTGGACGTTTTGGTCGGAAACGGGAAGTAAAGAATGATGCGTGGATGCCAACAGTGGAAGCGTGTGCCTGCCCGGAAGGAATTTGTCACTTTCCAGCGCGTCCAAGTCGGCAGGAACAAACACCAAGGCAGAAGGAACCGAAGGAACCCCACTGTTGCCCACCCATTTCCAGGGAAGGAGGTCCTCAAAAGCTGACCATTGGTTGGTCCATCGCCTGTGGTGTCATTTTAGGCTGTGGGGCCATTCCAATGGCGCCGAAGCAAATTTTTATCTGATGCCGCCCCGTTTTTTCTAATCTTATCAGATCATCTCGCTGCCTCAGGAAAGATATCGCATCTGCCAGTTCCGCCTGAACTTCCAATTTGCACCTATTCCCGTCTCGTCGCCCAGTGACACAAAGATTTCCTCCTCTTGATTGTCCAATCTGTTACTCCGCCCAGGAATCTACACGAAAGCCAGCTGATCCCACCGAAGTCCCACTCTGCAACGTAGGGCTGGACGTCAATGACCTCTCCATTCTGGGCTGGGCACGCGCTGCCAGCCTGCCATCTTGCTTGCTTGCATCCGCGTACCTGAAGCCATCACCGTCGCATTGGGGTCCGATCTATGTAGCATTCTGCCAGCTTCACTACCAGAATGGCCCGGTTGCCCAGCCTTGGCCTTGGCTTTCAGTACCTGTGCAACTCTCCATCCCGTCCTGTCACCTTATTAGAGTTGACCTTGGCGCGAACATCCCGTTCCGATGCTGCCGCGCTGTAATCGAGCTTCATCCACTGGCGGAAGTCTTTCGTTCTCGTTTGCTCGTCTACCTGTCTGTTATTCGAGACCCAAGAGCAGTCTAATATTGGTCAAGTGCGCGTCCCGACGAGTGTTTCTCTACCGCGGCTGTGTAAAGACCCGACTATCGGCCCTTCAAGCTTACGAGTATTCTTATTACGGATGCTCCGCCGGAATTTTGCTGTGCCGCAGGCGAGAAACATCAAGATCCTGCTTAGGTCCCCCATTGACTAACGAATACCTACACTGCCTTACATCGGACCAGCAGGCCGCATATGCACCAATGACATTTCTTCGCGCCTTTCACGGCACTTTATCATACCTAGTCCACAGATGCTCTTCGTCTGGCTGCGTGAACGATGTCTCAAACTTCGCTGGGATTCCATCCCATTGCTCGGATTCCGACCGAATAAGGTAGTTACAGCTTGTCAATGGCGCCTGCAGCAAAGACGGCGGTCTCGAGTAGAAACGCCACATGATTCTAAGCGTCAGACACCCTGACTCTTTATTTTCAGGGCAAAATCAACGTCACTCGCGTCTTTCTGCTTACAGACACTACATGGGAGTGGCGAGGCTCCAACAATCACACAACAGGACGGACCCCCAGTGACACTTTCGAGGCTACTGCATACGGCCTCCCACCACGGAACCGAGCTGCTGGGCCAAGCATGCCAACCCGCCCGTATCCGTAGGAGAACCAGCTAGGTCAGTGGCGCCACATTAGTGCCATGGTTTTCGACCCTCATAGCACCATGCTACATTTTCCACTCATAGAGCTTTCCTGACCTAGGCCGGACCCACAGATCTCTGAGAGATGGTCTGCCTGTAAGCACGATCAGGGGACTTTGATTTGGGATGAAAATCTCTCTTCTAGCACTTGACTAGCATGAATCCACAGTCGGCCGCTGCTAGTATCGATCCTTGAGCTACTCTTACGGCCGCCAAGCTCAATTTGCCTAGCTGAGACTCTTTTCCGACTACCGCCGAGGCAAGAGCCGCCGAGAAGCCAGTCCTATGCCTAGATGCCAGCCAACAAGCAGCACAAGGATGTTTCCGTGCCCACTTGCGACATCGGCCCACCATCAGGTAGACCATCGTGGGGGCGAGTGCTTACACCTTTGACTGTCTGACAACATATTCATAATCGGAACCTCAATTCCGGCATTTTCCTCCGGAGAAAGCTGCCAATGGAGGCCTTGCCATGCAGACTCTGAGAGACACATCGGGTCTTCCGATGATTCGAGGCCCGTCTACTAGTACATTATCCTTGATCCGTCCTGCGTTACCAAAGATCTTTTCCACAGTATGCGCAATGCAAAAATTACACGCGCTTCCAATCCAGTGTTACGCGTCTTTATCGTCGTCTTGTTCAAAATACAACCGCAAGTTAATTTCCAGTAGCGCAGAGCGAGATGAAGTTGTCATGCGAAGATTGAGACATGGAGACGAGAAGGCTAGCTTTTTCCAGAGCATCGATCGATACGCTTTCATGCCATTGAGACTTCCTCTAAAGGCGAGCAGTATTATGTCCATCGTTCTGTACCGGCATCTCTTGGTAGGAGAAGTATGCTGAAACTGTGTTTCCTTAAGCCAAAAGTTTGCCTCAAGGTACCACCACTATCGTTCGGAGTGCAGGCTCTGAGAATGTATCTTTGTTCATCACTCGCCTAGTCTAGATTCTGGGCAATATGAACACACTTTATTTTGGATGTTTCGGTCTGGAGCGCGTCAGGCCTCGACTGGAGCCACATATCTTTGCAAATGTCTCCAATTTGCTATCTAAGCTATCAGCTTCAAGGTCCACAAATCCGAATCGCTTGGAGAAGTCGAATCTCTGTGATGGCTTTCAAGTTCATACCTCAGGCGGAGAGACGCCAACTACAAGGTCATAACCCACGGGTACTGTCGATATTCATATAGCGCTTATCACGTTGTAATGAGCAACGGGATCATGCTCTTGCGGAATGCCAATCAGTTCCCATCTGTCAAACGTGGGTAGTGTCACCATTTCCAAGCCAGGTGCAAATTGCGGTCCGATGCACTAGCAACAGCTAAAGAAGAGAGCGTCTCTGGAAGGTGAAGGTGGCCCGACGGGTATACTACCTGCACAATGCAAGCCATATTGATAGCACGACTCGCAATTTCCAGCTGCATCTCGACTTCGTCCATTTTCTCAGCGAGTCGTTGTCAGCTTTGAAAGTCGGTAAAACTTCATTTTGAGCTTGAGACATAGACGACACCATATGCAACCTATCTGCCAGACTAGAGTGCCAGACTGCAATGTGGGGGCGGAGCGATCTCCCTGATAAGTTTGGACTTATCAATACATAGTACCAGCGTTCCTCGGAGAGCCGGGTACATGAGCGAGGGTCTTCCGAGTTGCATTCCGGTCCGATGGCCCCACCCCCGACCGGCACCCGATAATAACGCTCAAAGTCGATGGTTTGTCCTATCCACGAAGTCTAAAAAGTCCGACATCAAGCAACTTTAAAGACACATTTCAAGCTTCGTTGGTACCAGGCATACCACGTGGGCTGGACATCAGACGTTCTAGGTCTTCCTGAGCTCTCCAGTTCTCCGCGACGGGTTTCGAGAGGGGAGAGTGATGTCATGACGACATGGGCCTCAGTCGACACGTCCCCACGCGGCTCGACTGCGAATGATGAGCAAGCTTCGCGGGGCTACGTCATTCT